CAGGTAAACTGTCTTTTAACAGGTTTTGTGTCTGAATTTCTTCTAAATTCCCACAAGCCCTATCAGTAACCACATATTAGGTGACACTTACCAATGTGCTTATGGTTACTCTTAAAGGCTGAAGAAAGGGAACAGTGAAATGTTTTTTGGTTCTTAGGTTTACCAAAGTGGCTATGGGCTTTGTAGAAACTGGTTCTAGAAACTGGTCACCTGTGTTCCTATCAGCTCTTAAACACTGGTTTAAAGGAACCTCACAAGTGCTGCTTTAGCTACAGTTTTAACTAAAGGGTTAAAAAAAAAAGATTTGAGATCAAAGCATGAAAACTGGCCTTAAGTCAGATCCTATATCATCTACGGCATTGCATTCAGAGAGAGGGTTCCCCCCATCTTCTCCTTTCCTCCTTTCCCTTCCCCTCTAACTCTCCTCTCACTCTCTTTCTGGTCTTCTCCCTCTCTCTCTTCCTCCCTTCCCTCCTCTCATCCTCTCTCATTTCCCTTGTCCTTCCCAGGCTGGCCTCAAACTTTCAATCCTGTTCTCACTTTCCCAGTTCTGGGATCCTAAGGATCTGTAAAGAGTGAATTAAAGGGCCTGAATTGTAGCTCAGTGAGAGAGAGTTTAACTACGTGGGGGAGGCCTTGGCTTCCTTTCTAGAGTTTAACCACACCTGCAGCACATAAAACAAAACAAAGTAATTAGATTAAATGAGGCCAGAAGGTTGGGACTCTAAGTGTAGTTGGACTGATGAACTTGTAAGAAGACACAGGGATAACTATGCGCACACACAAAAAGGCAGCTGGAAAGATCCAAGAAGGCAGCTGTCAGACAAGGAGCAAGGCCTCAGGAGAAACCAAATCTGTCCACAGCTCCATCCATCATGAATGTCAAGCCTCCAGACCTGTGGGGAAATATCTATTGTTGATATGATGTTTTATGTCAGCCTTGACAGTCTAACCTAGGTATTTTAATAATATGTTGGACATTGTTAGGGCGTAGAAACTGTCATAAGAGGAATAAGAAACTTTCTGCAAAGAAAAACTCCACCTGCAAAAGAAGATGAAAGTGAAACTTCACGAGAGGAAGGAAAACAAAAAACAACCAAGTACTTAAAGAAAAACAAAAGAAAATCTGCAAAATGACTGATGTTGGCAATTACACATTAGTCTGTTCATGCCAGAAAAACTGCAAGTTAGCCATACTGCCATCCTATCTCTAAGTCACAACAAATCTTCAAGTAGCAGCATAAAAAAATCAGTGATATCTTTGGTTTTTTGGTTTGGTTTTTTTTGGTCAGGCATTCAGGCTTACCAGAAATGTTGGCTATTATTTTGAGAACCAAATGTAATCTTGTTGTTTCTTTTAGGCTACAGCTTTTAATTTTTTCAAATTTGTTTTTGGTTGAAATACCTCTGAGTAGACTTTGAAAAAAAATACTATCCACTTCTACCCAGTTTCTCTCATCCTTTTGTCTTGCCCACTCACTAATGACCATTGGAAAACTAATTTATTTAAATTCTGGGTTACAAGGAAATAATTGGTAACCCTAATCTACCCAGTTATCAGTTAAAAGGAAGCCTTTCAGGTTTGAAAACATCTTGGATTTGTGCTTCTGCTTGTTCACCATAAGATGTCAGAAAAGGGTAACAGTTTTTATCTGACCCACCAGAAGGATGAACATCAGCCGATACCTCCCGGGAGGTCGGAAAAATGAAAGACGGAGAGTGAAACCAAATTCAAGAATACGATGTAAGATTTCTTTAACTGACCTAGCGCCAATCCCAGTGCACTAAGCCTTAACGACAGGCAAAGGAGTTGGGAAGGAAAGCTCACTTTTTGTGTGAAGTAAACGATCACTGTATATTTTGCACAACCCACAGAACTGTTAGGATGATTTAGATGCTGATGGCTGACTGATTGGCAGAAAACGTCCTTAGAGATGTGGGATCCTCCCACTTCGCACGGAAGTTACGGCCGAGACAGGAAAGGAACCATTACGGGGTGATTCTAAAAGAAGCCCTTTGTTCATGCAGAAATAGATTTACTGGAGAGAGGGAACAACCCTATGACAGAGCGTGTTGATGCTGATTACTCCAGAAAGGCATTAAGATAGGGGGACGGAGGACTTGAAAGCTTTGCATCCAAAGTCTTCCGAATGTCCCTAGGTAGCCAACGCTTTTGGTTCACAACGGTGGTTGGTCTTTGCTGGCGTCCTATTTTCTCAAAACTCGGGGTTCTCTGATTTGGGCTGCAGGATTCTTCATTGCGAAGTCTCAAATCCCGGCCCGAATGTTAATCCTCCTCACCTCACCTCCCAAGCTTGCCCCTGGTCAGTTTATCTGGACTACTTTATCCTGTTTAAAAAAAAAGGGGGGGGGGAGAGTTTCCTTTCCTTCCCTCACCTTTATTTCTACACACTTTAATTCGCCCTGCTATCTCCTCAGGGTTGCTGGGTTGAGACTATTGGCTGTCCTCCCGCCAGGATTTAAATTACAAAATTAAAAAAAATTAAAATTACAACATGGGTGGGCTCTTGGCGTCAAAGCCCAGGGTACTACTTAGCCAGAATAACGTTAAGTTCGTGGTTCTACTTAAAAAAACAAAAACACCTCAAATCCGAAGGAGCATTTATCTGGCAAACTGGGAGCTCTTGGTGGGCTTTTCAAATTCTGATGCCTAATTAGAATCGGAGGGGGGGGGGGAGGTGGCATTTCCTGTATTCGATTCATTTAGTCTATAACCCAAACCGAGTTCTGGTCACGATACCAAAGCGAAAGAGAAAGCTTTTACCAGGTGTAAAAGGATCCACCCTAAACTCACTCTAAATTTTCTGGATGTACCCAACTCTCCCTTTGGAACTTTTACACATTCAGTTTCTACTCCCTAACCAGCTATTCGTAAAACTAGACCACAAGTATATTGCAAGTCTTTCAGAAAGAGGTGGGTGGCTCTGAAAAGAGCCTTTGGGGTAAGGGCAATGCCGTGAGAGCTCACTTGGAGCTGGTGTACTTGGTGACGGCCTTGGTGCCCTCGGACACGGCGTGCTTGGCCAGCTCCCCGGGCAGCAGCAGGCGCACGGCCGTCTGGATCTCCCGAGACGTGATGGTCGAGCGCTTGTTGTAGTGCGCCAGGCGCGACGCCTCGCCCGCGATGCGCTCGAAGATGTCGTTCACGAACGAGTTCATGATGCCCATGGCCTTGGATGAGATGCCGGTGTCCGGGTGGACCTGCTTCAGCACCTTGTACACGTACACCGAGTAGCTCTCCTTGCGGCTGCGCTTGCGCTTCTTGCCGTCCTTCTTCTGCGCCTTGGTCACCGCCTTCTTCGACCCCTTCTTGGGCGCGGGAGCGGATTTCGCTGGCTCAGGCATTTCGAAGAACAACTACCAGAGCAGGAAAAATGACTGGCCTGTCGTCGGTCTACACTATTTAGAGCTCCATATGCAAATGAGATGGAGTAATGTCTAATTTCGATTGGAGAATATTAGATGGCATCATTGTTACTTTTGTCCAATTAGAGCACGTGTACCAAGGAACTTCATTTGCATTGAGTAAAGCTGCAATACAATTTCCTAGCCAATGGTTCAGCTTCTTTTTCGCGCCTAAATTCGCCTATAAAATGTACACTTCGCTCAGCCTATTCTAGTCACTTAGTGTTCTCTGACTAAATAGCAAGTCATCATGTCTGGACGCGGCAAGCAGGGCGGCAAGGCTCGCGCCAAGGCCAAGACCCGCTCTTCCCGAGCTGGTCTCCAGTTCCCCGTCGGCCGTGTTCACCGGCTGCTCCGCAAAGGCAACTACTCGGAGCGCGTCGGCGCCGGCGCCCCGGTGTACCTGGCGGCCGTGCTGGAGTACCTGACGGCCGAGATCCTCGAGCTGGCTGGCAACGCGGCCCGCGACAACAAAAAGACCCGCATCATCCCGCGACACCTGCAGCTGGCCATCCGCAACGACGAGGAGCTCAACAAGCTGTTGGGCAAAGTCACCATTGCCCAGGGCGGTGTCCTGCCCAACATCCAGGCCGTGCTGCTGCCCAAGAAGACCGAGAGCCACCACAAGGCCAAGGGCAAATGAGCTTTGATCGCTTTAAGCTTCAAGACAAAAACCAAAGGCTCTTTTCAGAGCCACCCACTTTTTCTGTAAAAGAACTGAACCGCTCTATAGAGTTCAAGCACATCGCTTTGTCCAGAGTGTAAAGACCGCTTGGATTAAGTGGTTTTGTTAGCTTTAGGCCCTCAGCAGCATTATCTCACTACTAAGCATTGCTGGGTTCCTGCCGGTATGTTGAAGCCGTTACCCCTTATAGCACTGTCGGAAAGATGAGATTCTTGGTCAATCACAACTTTGATCCTAACATTTCAGAATGACATGCTAAGTTGGAGAAAAATCCCATTTGCAACGTAAGCCTATCATTCCACATAAGCGGTTTTAGAGAACTGGTCCAAGCTGCTATTTGGCTGCCTCAAAATCAGTTACTATGAGGCCAATTATTAGCATAATTCAGGCAAACAAAATTCCCCACATCATATACTGAGAAAACTGTTCAAGGAGTTTGTGTACTAGCACAATTTAAAAACAAATTCCTCAAAAGTAGTTATGAAGCAGAATAATGTTTACAAACCATTATTCCACTTAAATAGGGACGGGAGGGGAAAATGGAGAACAGAGGAAGGGATGATACAGACCACGGAGCATTTTACTCAACCTGATGGGGGAATTATAAAAATTAATTTTTTAAAATGCACCATCAGCATTCACAATTTATACATGCATGTATGTTTTCAGGAATAGTTAAGCTCTTTGGGGGCAAGCAATATTACTAGAAAACCGTAACAAATTAACAGCAGAGGAAACGACCGTTCCAAAGGCGAAAAACAAATTAAGGATAGATTAAGAACCAATCAGGATAGCCCTGCTGCAGTTCTGGCCAATCAGGATCGGATCGTTGCTATAAATGGCGGTAGCCGTGCTGTCACCATTTACTCGTTTCTACAGGACAAGTTCCTTAGCTATGGCTCGCACAAAGCAGACGGCTCGCAAGTCCACCGGCGGCAAGGCGCCCCGCAAGCAGCTGGCTACTAAGGCCGCTCGCAAGAGCGCCCCGGCCACCGGCGGCGTGAAGAAGCCCCACCGCTACCGGCCCGGCACCGTGGCGCTGCGCGAGATCCGGCGCTACCAGAAGTCGACGGAACTGCTGATCCGCAAACTGCCGTTCCAGAGGCTGGTGCGCGAGATCGCGCAGGACTTCAAGACCGACCTGCGTTTCCAGAGTTCCGCTGTGATGGCGCTGCAGGAAGCGAGCGAAGCCTACCTGGTGGGTCTTTTTGAGGACACCAACTTGTGCGCCATCCATGCCAAGCGGGTGACTATCATGCCTAAAGATATCCAGCTTGCGCGCCGCATCCGTGGCGAACGTGCATAAACTGCTAAGCTTTTCTGACTCTCGGTCCCAAAGGCTCTTTTCAGAGCCACTTCTGTTCTCAGTAAAAGGCTGTTACACAGGCAAGCCAGAGAAATCTTGGCCTGTAGATGCCTAGCTAGTTTTTCTTGAGTAAGGCTTTTAACTTCCAAGTCTCCCAAGAGACTTCAGCCTTAGATGGTTTAATCTGCCTGGTGGTTCTCAAGATTTCAGCATTTCGATCCCCGTTATGTGATTTTCTCACAAATGTTGAGTCAGCCATAGTGTCTGTCTGGCAGTGACTTTACTGAAATAGATCTCCCAGCACTGTCTTTGTGGTTTACCTGAGTTTAATAACATCCCATCCCGGATATCATGTGAACTTCACTGGTTCGATACATGTATTAAGTTTTATGTCCAGGAGACCAGCTTCTAGGCTAAAAATTTAACTTCTCCCCATGTGGTATACAAGTTAGAAACCTTCAAAGACCGGTGCCATCGAGGTTAAGAATAGGTGGCATATCAAATTGAAAATTTAATGAAAAGTACTGAATCCAGTTTTGGAGTAATACCAAGAAGTCAGCAAAACAAGTGGATTATCCAACAAGCCTCAATAGTTTATCAGCAAATGCATTCACTTAAGAGAATCAGGGAAAGGAAAAAAAAAGCAGAGGAGCCCATTAGCTACATTGGACATTGAGGGAAATGAACTAAGCAACTCAAGGGCAGCGTTGGGAGGGAGGGAATGAAAGAGAAAGGGAACAGCTTAGACTAAGCCAAAGGAAATAAATGATTATCACCCGATTGGGAAGTAGTTGTCAAAAGTGTAGAGTTGACCAGCTTTATAGACCATAATAACGACATTTCACCCTGTGAAGGTAAAAATGTGTGACTTTAGGTAAGTATCATCCTACAATACAGTGAAATTTATGTAATCATTTAATCTCAATAAATTTAAAGAGAACCTAAATCATTTACAATACTTTTTTGAATAAGCCAATTTTCCCTGATGTGAGAAAAACAAAACCGTGTAGCCTAGTTAAATTTGCTGAGGAGAACAAAAAGCTTTTTAAAGTACCTAATTTAAATAGACCAGATTCTCAAATTAGACTTAAAAAAAAATAGGCTTGCATTACACAGAAGGGAATTTCAGTGCTGATGGAAAGTGACTTAAACTAAAAACTCAGCTTTCCCGCTACAACCACCTAGGGCTGCCCTGGCCGCAAACCTCCCAAAAACATCTCCCCTCCCTTTCCCCTGCCCAGTCATACCCTGTGACTATGAAAGATAACCAGTGAACCCAGGACCATACCATTTGTTGGCTTGTCTGCTAAATACCTATGCTTTCCTGTCTCAGGATAAGATTCAATCTATGTACAAAAAGTCCCTTACTCCACTCCCATCCTGCCCCCCTTCTTATGATAAACAGACCCCTGTCCTGCCTACCTTTACTATGCCTAATAAAAGGAGACTTCAGTTGTGAGAGAGCCCACCATTGTCTCTCCTGTCTGCCTGTAAGACTCTCCTGTCCCTCTCAGGTTTTTGCCCCCAGAATAAAAGTCTGTTGGTCTGTTGAATTCACTTTCTGCCCTTATTCTGATATTCTTATGACTCAATTTATAATTCCTTTCAATACTTTTGAGAAATGTTTAGCTTATTTCTCATACCTGGGAGAATATTTAAGAGAATTGATTTAACAAACAGAATTTATATTTCAAAAGTCATCCGTGCCAGGCCCTGGTGGGTCACGCCTGTAATCATAGCAACTCAGGAGGCTAACATATAAGGATCCCATGTTCAAAGCCAGGGTGGGAAAGAAAGTCAGTGAGACTCTTTATCTCCAATTAACCACCAGAAGTTGAACTGTGGTAAAGCACTAGCCTTGAGCAAAAGAGCTCAGGGATGGTCCTGGGCCCCCCATTTCAAGTCCCATGATCAGCCAAGAAAAAGAAAAGTCATCCATGATTTTAGGGAAATCGTGACAATATTGGAAAAATGGAAAGATGTGGGCCCTTTTATCATTTATCATAAGGGACATGGCTCACATTCTTACAACAAAAAATTGTCAATAGTAAACCATGGTGGAATTGGTTTGTTTACTTATTTATTGCTGTGGTGCTATGAATCAAACCCAGAGCTTTCAACATACTATACAAGCATATTAACACTGGGCTATATTATCAGTGCTGTAAAATAGTTTTTCATATTTTAAGTGATATTGGTATGTTCAGAATTGAGTATCATACAGAAAACTGCCTTTTTTTCTCTCCCTCAGTTACCTATTTCAAGGGAGGGTCTCACTGTGTTGACCGGGGTGAGCCATAAATACACAATCCTGCTTAGTTCTCCTCCAGACTTATGTAGGGGGAGGGGGAGTTGGTCACTAAACTGACAGAACTAGCTGTTTTTATTTTTAGATTTGATGAAGAATGGACGATTGTGTAGAATGTGAGTGGACAAACAGTATAAGGCCTACTCTTCCTCTGACCCACCAGAATAGAATTATTCCTGGAGAGGATTCTTTTACTCCTGGAGAGGTCTGTTATTACCTGTATTGCATAGAATCTGCATAATAAAAGGTTACTAGATAAGCTAAACTTTCCATTAGTTTACCCAAAGTATTTACTTTCCCACAATTTACCCTACCCCTTTTAAAGTAGTTTGGAAGAGAACTGGTCTACTTTTGCTTTTCACTTTCATTCCTTTTCTGCAAAGGTTCCTAAATGTATATTTTATACACCTTTCCCATTAATATCCCTAGTTTCTTTTTAAAGATTTCAACTTGTGGTTTTTCAATTTAAATAACACATTCAAGACAGGTTGCTATTTGAGCACTGCATTCTGGTACATACTTATAATCCCAACATTTGAGAGACAGAGGCAGGGAGATATCAGTCTAGGATACATAGCTTATCCAAGGCCAAACTGAACTACATAGGGATATCTTCTCCCCTTTGCTGTACCAAAACAAAACAACAACAACAACAACAAAAGACCAACATAGCCACCCAAACAACAACAAAAAAGAACCTGGCGTTTAATGAGGCAAATTGCTGCTTAGGTTTTTACTACTTGCAAGGGAAGAGAAGTGCCGAGATTAATTTAAGATAAAAGGTAGAGATAGAAAGACAGTGAAAAATGGATTCATTAGTGGAACATTAGCTTTCATGTACTTGTATTACATAAAATTTCAAAGTTTTTCTGGGAGTAAATAAGCATGCTGACATATAAGAGGTAACATAGCTAAATTTGGGACAAGAGAAGGAAAGGCCTGGGCAAAAGAAAACTGTCAAGGTTACATTGAAAGGCAGAATCAGATACCTGGAAGAAGACAACACAAGGAAGGCAAACCTGGAAACCCAGCACTAGGCCTTAAAACATTTCTTTTTTCCTGCAATACTCATGCCTGGGCTCTGCACTGTATATTTTAGTTGTAAATTCGAGGGAATTTCTAGATGTCCTCTCCTTACTTCTCTAAGAAAGTAGGGGTACAATGGGGATCTTTGAGCAGTATTTTCCTGTCTCCTTTCCCAAAAAATGCAGAGTAAAAGCTACCATTCCTCAATAACTTATCAGAATGAATGTCAAAGTCATTTCTCCAGAGAAAAGTGTCAAATGAAAGAAGAAAAGGGGAAAGAGGTGAAAGAAAAAAGGTACTAAGCCATTTTTAAGAAAGACCAGAAAACTCTGAAGCTATAATACAATGCTGGGTTCACTGCAGAACTTCTCAGGCTATTTAAAACCAGAGTGCGTACTTTCCATAGACATTGATGCATCCCGCATTTCACTTAAGGCAGGATTCTAACAACCACCACGGACCAGTAAGAGTCAAGAAGAGACTGGAAAAACAGATTACAGGAAAAAACAAAGACCCTTCCAAGGGTAGGTAGAGAATATTAGTGAAAGGATTGATTTAAAGGATATCTGGGTAAATACACTCGTTGGAATCTAGTTTGGGCAAGTCTCTCCTTTTTTTCTCATCTGAAAACGTGGACAGTGAAAATTACGCTAATACTGCAGCCGCGAACAGTTCTCAATCAGGTCCGAGAAGCTGTCTTTGTCTTAAAACCTTTTCTTTGTCCTCTGGCCTTGTATGATGTTGCATAAGGCCTGGGAAAAGGCGGTGCCTAGCCGGCCAGCCCGTGCCTTGCCCGCCTTCCTGCTTCTTTCTCGCTGTTGTGATCTCTAGCGTACCTCTAACCTCATCGGAAACACCTGTGGGAAGCTCCCGGAGTACGTGATTCATGTTACTTCAACTAAGCAAGCCAGTGCCAGCCAGACTGTTTCAGCCACAAATGTGGTCTACATGCTCAAGTCCAAGGGCTGCACCCTTTATGGTTCTGCGGGCTAGTGTTGTCCTAAACTACCTTTTAGCGTTATGGCTCAAAGGCGCAAAAGACCACACAGGAAATCTGCTAAAGGCTGCAGACCTTTTATTTATTTATTTTAATTTCAGGTTAGTGCACGTGTTCGCCAACTCATGTCATAGTTATATGTTCCTTTCAGCATTACTGTAGCTTAATACTCAAAAGGGAGCCAAGTCTCCCGACTTGTCAATTCAGCAATCAGGCTCACCTATCAGTTTCGCGCCAAAAAGGTTAAGGAGTGAATAAATACCAGTAAGGCACACAACTCCTAAAATAACTCGGAAGCCCTTACAGAAAGTGTTCGCCAAACATAAGTTGAACTGGTTGTTTAAGGTGATCAAATTTGAACAGTCTGACATTGTCTATTGTTTACACTGGAATTATTTTCTAGCAATTGCAGTTTCTCGTTAAGTATTTTTATTAACATCTATCCCAACAATGATATAACGAGTCTTAAGTCTACATTTTCTTGGAATAGGCGCATGGAACGTCTAAAACTCTTGCTTAGAAAGAACTTAGAACTTCTTAAAGATCAACTATGAGAGAAACGCTTCTTAACCACTCCAGAGTGTAACAGCAAAACCAATTCTGTGGAAGGACGCGTCGATTGGTTCATTTGGTACTGACGTAATCAGTATTCTGGCCAATCCGAACGCGAGGCAGACTATAAATAAGGAGATTTTTCAAAGGTTCTTCACTCGCTTCTTCTGAGTCCTGCAACTTTGTTAGTCTCCATGGCTCGTACCAAGCAGACCGCTCGCAAGTCTACTGGTGGCAAGGCGCCCCGCAAGCAGCTCGCAACTAAGGCCGCTCGCAAGAGCGCGCCTGCCACCGGCGGTGTGAAGAAGCCTCACCGCTACCGACCTGGTACCGTGGCGCTGCGCGAGATCCGCCGCTACCAGAAGTCGACGGAGTTGCTAATCCGCAAACTGCCGTTCCAGCGCCTAGTGCGCGAGATTGCGCAGGACTTCAAGACCGACCTGCGCTTCCAGAGTTCCGCTGTGATGGCACTGCAGGAGGCTTGCGAGTCCTACTTGGTGGGCCTCTTTGAGGACACTAATCTGTGCGCCATCCATGCCAAGCGGGTGACCATCATGCCTAAAGACATCCAGCTTGCGCGTCGCATCCGTGGAGAGAGAGCTTAGAGGTTATTAATTCCTCTGCTAACTTAAAAGGCTCTTTTCAGAGCCCCTCATTTATCACTAAAACGTAGCTGTTTACACAACACACCTGGTAAATTGCTCTCCGTTCAGTAGCTTCTTTGCTAAGTCTCATCTGTGAGCTTTAGATACGTTAGGAATGACTTGTTGCCAAGACAACTTTCGTGCCATCCCATAATCTCAGTTTACCGTCCTGCATACGTAACATCTGGGGTATTGGACACTGCAGTTTGTAAAACTGGATGTGTAACCAGTTAAGTATTAAATCCCTAATTTTTTTGTCGGTCGTGGGTCTTGAACTCGTTCTGTGCCCTGTCCCTCAGCTCAACACTAAGCCCTCTACCACTTGATCCACAGCACCACTTCTAACTTTTGGCTTGTGGTCCTGAAGAATCAAACCCAGGGCTTCATGCCCTTATATTTGAAAGCTCTGGGATTTGGGTTAGTATCTGTTCAGATGCCATAGCTTACAATTAGTTTGGTCTTGAGTAGCTTGGATGAATGTGTTAAAATCATGCTAAATATCCCAGTAGCAATATTAAGTTTTGCAAAGTGCATTTTTTTTCACGTTTTAATTCCTTTTTAAAAAGTATTTAAAACACAATCATCAACTCCGGTTATAAACATAACCTACTGTCAATTTTACTAGCTTCTCCAGAGATTCATAGAAAATGTAACATGTTGGCTGCTTTAAACTTCCCGACAGATTTTCACCGGAAAAATCTAGGTGCATTTCATTGTCAAGAAAAAAGCTGGTAGAGAACATTTTTGTGACTTGATTTTATTATAGATTTGAACTAACCTGCCAGTGTCTTTTTATGATGCTGTACAAGAATTAGAAACATTTTCTCTTTTAGCCAAAATAGCAAACCTTACATCCCTCCCTGATGTAGTTTTGTTTTCTCAAATGCATTGAGCTTTTATTATTCAATGCCATTATTCTTAAGACATTTACACAGCTAATATTCAGCTATGCTAATATATTTGCATGTAAACACCGAACCACTTATATTGGTATATCATGGCTGCTTATAGAAGAATATTTCCGGCCATGACACTTATTAAATCTTAATGGAGGTGTCCCTATGAGCACCAGGAAACCCTTAGAAAAACCTCAAAAATTTTGTCTGGGTCTGCAGGTAGTTCTTGACTACTTCCTGCAGATTTCAGAATTGTTTTCTAAAGCAAATCGTCTACAATAAGTGTTTTTCTGCCCTCTTTTAATGGAGCTGCCCAGACACTAATGAAATTATTTCAATCATAAAACATATCAAACTTGTTTGTACTTCATTTCAGAGGATTGCTTTATGGAAGTCAGTGTCATTTCTAATCATCCTGCCATGAGGAATAAATCACTCTTAACTTTCCAAACTAGAGAATGTCATTCTCTAATAAAGAGAGCAGCAGGACATGGAAACAGCTAAGAGGCAGAACTGGTTTGTAAAGTCTGTGTTTTTAATTTCAGACTAGAGGCAACCTTGTGCCTGTGTTAGTTACTACTGTTATAAACAATATTTATGCCTAAACCGAGAAATATGCTTTCTATATAGTTGAATAAATCAAGGGCTGAACTAATGGACAAATGCTTTTAAATAGTGCTCACAGGATATTTAACATCAATTTACCGCAATAAGCAGCTAATTAGCACTAGGTCCTAAACATGGTGGGTTCTTAGGAAAAGATAAAGGGATTTTAAAACATATTTTTCATCAATTGTGTGTGATTCGTGGAAACACAAACAAGTATGTGGACCTGGAAGCTGTTCTCCTTCTTTGCAGTTTCAAAGCACAAAATTCTGTGCGGTTTTTTGCAGCATTGAATCAAATTTTGGAGACTAACAAACACAGTTTGGAGTCCAACCAAAAGCAACCTCGATTCAAGGGCGGTGGATTGGACGCTCCACCAATCACAAGCCAGCGCCGCCTTATATAAGCCGTGGGCCGGAGCAGACCAGCATTTCAAAACTTGCTCTCAAGTTCTTGAGTGACTTCTCTCCTAGCAAGTTCTCACGTTGCCATGTCGGAGACCGCTCCCGCTGAGACTGCTGCCCCGGCGCCGGTGGAGAAGTCCCCGGCCAAAAAGAAGGCAGCGAAGAAAGCTGGCGCTGGAGCAGCCAAGCGCAAGGCGACCGGACCACCGGTCTCCGAGCTGATCACAAAGGCTGTGGCTGCTTCCAAGGAGCGCAATGGCCTCTCTCTGGCCGCGCTCAAGAAAGCCTTAGCCGCTGGTGGCTACGACGTGGAGAAGAACAACAGCCGCATCAAGCTGGGTCTGAAGAGCCTGGTGAGCAAAGGCACCCTGGTGCAGACCAAGGGCACCGGCGCCTCCGGCTCCTTCAAACTCAACAAGAAGGCTGCCTCCGGGGAGGCCAAGCCCAAGGCCAAGAAGGCGGGCGCGGCTAAGCCTAAGAAGGCAGCGGGTGCCACGCCGAAGAAGCCCAAGAAGGCTGCTGGAGCCAAGAAGACAGTTAAGAAAACTCCTAAGAAAGCGAAGAAGCCTGCGGCGGCTGGTGTAAAAAAAGTAGCCAAGAGTCCGAAAAAGGCTAAAGCTCCTGCCAAGCCGAAGAAGGCAGCTAAGAGCCCCGCCAAACCTAAGGCAGTGAAGCCGAAGGCTGCCAAGCCCAAAGCTGCGAAGCCGAAGACGGCAAAGCCCAAGGCTGCTAAGGCCAAGAAGGCGGCTCCCAAGAAGAAGTAAGAAGTCGGCCTGTGGCATGTAAGACCCAGCTACAAAGCCCCAAAGGCTCTTTTCAGAGCCACCCAGATATCTCCGAAAATGGCTGTGCACTGATTCCAATTTCGTGGATCCTAGCGAAGTTTACTGCTTGTTTACGAGTCCCTTTATGCATCTAGCAGGTTTCAGACTTCAGAATCCCCGCATCTAGCAGGTTTCAGACTTCAGAATCCCCGCGCTGCATCCTGATTGGCTCCTTGGTGCAGACTAGCAAGGGTAATCTAAGCCTTCACTCGTAGGGTGGGGTAAAACTGGAGTGGGTGACAACACTGCCTATCTGCGGAAGTTGTGGTTCAATCCAAAAATCCTCTCACCTAAAGTTAGCAGCTGCACAAGGCCTTTATTGCTTATGGCATCAGGGACTTGGTTTTCTTAGGCGGTGCCGGCTCTGAAGAAGTCTTGAGTAGTTGTCTTTTCAGAGCAGGCATTGGACCCAACCCTAGGGAACACAGGGCTTTTGCCCAGCCTCCCTCCTTGCCACTCCTGGGCATGACAGAATAGTCCTGTCCGCTTAACAATGTGCAAGATTAGACAGTACCAGTTAAAATGGCGCGAAAATGGGGCCATGTCATTGGCTGTTATCACACTTACACTTAAGCCAATAGCGTTGTGGTTTTGGAATAGCCAACTTAGTTGGACAGAGTGAAGTGTCCTGTATAAAATAACTACCCCACCCCGAAATGATTTTATTCTACGAGTTTGTATAACCGTCTTGTCCTTGCTACTGTTCCCAGATCTTTTGAATCAACTGTGTCTAAAGCCGCCAACTCAACTCCAAGGCATAGAAGGAACCAAAATCCCGGCCACAAGGGAGTTACTCAGTGAATGTGTATAAGGCGCTGAGTAAAGCCAGTCCACCCGAAACTGGCAAGTCCAAAGTAAGGGAATAGTAAGCTGGCGAGGCTTCTCACTGTCCAAAGAAAACACACATTGTTAATCTCCCTTAACAGGACAAAGGCAACTAAAACCTGAAGGTGATTTGAGCTGGATGCCTGTAATCCTAGTTACTCAGGAGGCTGAGATCTGAGGACTGAGGTTCAAAGCCAACCAGCTCAGCAAAGTCCCTAAGACTCTTAACTCCCTTGTATCGCTATTAAAAACTACTAAGAAGGCTAGAGATGGGACCTGTAGCTCAAGAAGCTCAGAAGAGCACCCAGACACTGAGGGGGGGGGGGGGAAGCAACTTATTTTGTGTACAAGGTATATTGTGGTCTTCTGGGGTTTTAAATAAGATTATCTACTAGTTAGGGGTTTGTGTGTATGTGTGTTGGGGGTGGAGGGGTTAGGGATTTTATTGGCTCCTTGGTGGGGCTTGAACTAGGGGGGACCTGGTCGCTGCCCCTGAGCTCTTCAGCTCAAGGCTAGTGCTCCACCACATAAGCTGCCACCACTTCCTGTTTTCTGATGATTAACTGGAGATAAGAGTTTCACTGGACTTTCCTGCCCAGGCTGGCTTCGAACCGCGATTCTCAGATCTCAGCCTCCTGACTAGCTAGTACAGGCATGAGCCACCAAGCTACCGAAGCCCAGCATACTATCTAGTTTTTTGGTTTGGGGTTTTTGTTGTTTTTTGTTTTGGGTGCCAATCCTCCTGGAGTTTGAACTCCATGCCTGAACACTGCCCCAGAGCTTTGTTTGTTTAATGCTGGCATTCTACTAGAGTCACAGATCCACTTCTGGTTTTTGTTAATTGGAGATAATCTCATGGGGGGGGGGGGGAAGGAGAGGGCGCTGGTGGCTCACTCCTGTAATCCTAGCTACTCAGGAGGCTGAAATCTGAGGATCCCGGTTCAAAGCCAGCCCCAGGCGGGCAGGAAAGTCCATGAAACTCTTATCTCCAATAAACCACTAGAAAACCGGAAGTGGTGCTGTAGCTCAAGGGGTAGAGCGCTCGCCTTGAGCTAAAGAGCTGAGGAACAGCACTCAAGCCCAGAGTTCAAGCCCAGGACCACCAAAAAAAAAAAAATCTCATGGAGGGGGGTGGTGAAGATGGGAAGGGATGGGAAGGGGAAACAAAGGAGGGGGCAACAATGCTTGATAAGAAATGCACTCTTACATTGCCCATGTTTCACAATTAAAAAAAAATCTTTAAAAGACTAAAAAAATTTAATAATAATCTCATAGGATTATCTGCCCAGCCTGGCCTCAAATTGAAATTCTTACATCTCAGCCCCCTGTAATCCTAGGATTACAGGCTTGAGCCAACAGTGCCCAGCACTATAGAGTTTATGACACTGAAGATGTCACTTTATTGTGATCATGTTATTTAGCATACATCTGAATTTTAAAGTCAGTGGTTGGTAAGTTATAAAATAGAAAATTGTAAATGCTTTTTAGCATAAAAATCTGACATGAATGAAATCCTTATCTGGACATTTTACAGGTTCTACCAACCACCATTTCCAGACTTCTCACTAGGAAACTCTAATAAGTACATTGATTTCAAGAGAACCTTCAGTTTATGTTTTCTTGTTTTGTATCTTAAGTGTTACCTCCCACTTTAGGGCCAATTTGTATAAAATGAATTAATGGGTTTGTTGGTTTGTGTTTTGTGGTTTTTTTTTTTTTTTTGGTTGGTAATGGGGCTTGAACTCTGGGCCTGGGCGCTGTCTCTCAGCTCAAGGAGAGCACTCAACCACTTGAGCCACAGAAAGATGAAGAGGGATGAAAGGTTTCAAATCTTAATTACATCACCTTGTTCCAGTTGAGGACAAGTTTGAATCCTCATGTAGGGATGGCTGGTAATTGGCATTTTGTGTTCGTTACTTTCTGTGACTTTAACCCAGTTAGCTCAAGGACCCAGCCCCCTTCCTTGTAATTCGTTTACCCCTTACAGGATTAATTACATTTGTAATTATTTTTACATGATCAAAATCTTTCTTTACTTACAATACTGATCAGTGGTCTTTTGTGAATAAGCTCCATGTGTCATTTCACTGTACTTGTCTTTTCTGTAATAACAGTGAAATTCTAACTCAAGTGGTTCCAGACTGAGCCAAAGCTCAACACTTCCCATAAAAAAAAAAAGAGCAAGTAAATGACTATACATAAAGGAGGGTAGAAAGCATTTATTTATTTTCATTTTTTTGAACCCAGTGACTTATGGCAATCAAAGGGATGACATACAGTATTTTGAGCTCAAGAAACAAAAGACAAAGAGTTTTCTTCAGACAAAGCAAGTGACTTTCCTGCCTCCAAGTGACTAGAAACATTTCATTCATCCATTTCTTTACTAGACTGACCAACATATGAAGGTACCAAAGGTATTAAACGTACTGAAGATATATAAAAATACTAATACTAACTCAGTAGAGAAATTGACCATTAGGCTCAAAAAGGTATCACTGTTATTTCTTTTTTCTTTCTTTCTTTCTTTTTCTTTGCCTTTCCTGGAGCTTGAACTCAGGGCCTGAGCACTATTCCTGGGCTTCTTTTGCTCAAAGTTAGCACTCTCCAACTTGAGCCACAGTGTCCCTTCTGGCTTTTTCCACTTATGTGATACTGAGGAATCGAACCCAGAGTTTCATGCTGAAAAAAATCCATCACATCCATCCCTGGGGACCAAGCAGAGGCAGGCACAGGAGAAAGATTACAATGTTTATTAGAAGAGCCATGGAGAGAGAGCACAAGACAGCCTCCACTGTGAAGGTAGCAGCAGGGTCTGAGGGGTAAGGAGTGAGGTAGATGGGAGTTCCAGTGGGTCTGGGCAGAGAGAGGGAGGGGCCAGGGCAAGGAGGGGTTCAGTATCAGGTGGAGCTGAGGACTAAAGGTTACACCAAAGGTGGGCATAATGCTTTTACACCTGCGTGCTAGGCAATCACTACCACTAAGCCACATTCCCAGGCCCTCACTTTTATGTCTTCAAGTGTACCATCTCAATTACACAGTGTCCTTGTCACCAACCATCCAAATCCTTTCTTTCCTTTAAACACACACACACACACACACACACACACACACATCTGTCCCCTACCCTGATTATCCCAGCTTTTTAAAATTATTTATTTTGCATCTTAAAGCATCTCCAGGTTTTTCCTTACTACTTTAAAATACTTCACACACCTGTCTAGCCCACCCACAGGCTCCTCTTTGCTTTCCTATATCTATACTTTCAGCTTCTGCACACCCAAGAACCTCAAAGGTATAATTTTGTTTTTAATGTTTTCTTTAAGTATTTAATAGTTTCATTTTATAACACATGTGTAACCAACATCACCATCTCCTTCTTCTGTGGTTTGCTGATAAGACCTTCAATAGCCCCAGCTTTTAAATTAGGAGACTATTAAAGCATGTGACTACTTCAAGGGGTCAAGATTTGATTTTTTCTGTAACTCTTTGTTTATAGAGATAATAGCAATTTCTCCATGATAGGGGAAAGTCCCAGGTGATGGGCGTGCTGAATCCCTGGAGGCAAGAGTTAGCGATTAACTGATAGGTTACTAAACCTGTCAGTCCATTGCCTAGGACAGTGAATTTCCTGTGGCCCTGCCTCCTGACCTGACCCTATTTAGGCCCAGACCAACTCGGCTCCCGTTATTCCATGCCAGCTGTCTCCATTTCTGTCCAGCCTCCTGGCTACTGGCTCTTCTCCAGTCATCATAGCATCCCAATTCCAATTAATTGGAGCTAAATGGGTTTGTTGGTATTGTTTTTCTTCTTTCTTCACTGGCCTTCGTGGCTCAGTGTCCTAACAGTGTTAAGTGTACTTGCTGGCTGCTGGTCTTTGAGACAGGAGTCTACCATGCACTTGCTTTCCCTTTTTTTGGTCGCTTGTGGGGCCTGAACTCTGGGCCTGGGCGCTGTCCCCCAGCTCTTCAGCTGAAGACCAGCACGCTATCACCTGAGCCTCAGCCCCACTTCCGGCTTTTTGTGCTGATGTGGTGCTGAGGAATCGAACCGAGGGCCTCATGCATTCAAGGCAAGCCCTCTACCACTGAGCCACCTTCCCCAGCCCCTGCTTTCCTTTTAATAAAGACTTCAAGATTGACATCTCGAAATGTGGCTTCTCAGTTTTCTCACCTTACAGCATGTATACATTGAGTAACGTTTAAATGAAGTTAAACATATACGCTTCCTCAAATATTTATCACTTATGGTGAAACCATTTAAAATCCTTTTCAGATTTTTGAAATAGACATAATCATTGTTAACTTTGCCCTACCATGCAATATCACACCAGAACTGATTGCTATCTGAGTCATAAGACCTACTAATAGTAAAGGTGAATCTTTTATTTTTATTTGGCATTTGAAAGACGAGATAGACCCATCCCCTTTCCTACCCATGAAAGAGCTTCAAATTTCAGCCCACATGGTGTTGACTATTCTTTTTTCCAGCTTTTTTTCTTTTTTTGGTCAGTAATGGGGCTTGAACTCAGGGCTTGGGCACTGTCCCTCAGCTCTTTAGCTCAAGGCGAGCGCTCTACCACTTGAGCTACAGCGCCACTTCCGGTTTTCTGGTGGTTTATTGGAGATAGGAATCTTAGGGTCTCTCCTCCCCGGCCTGGCTTTGAATCACAATCCTCAGATGTCAGCCTCCTGAGTAGCTAAGATTACATGCATGAACCACCAGCACCCAGCTTTCTTTTTTTTTATTCTGGTATTAGTTGAGCATCCATGTGCCAAGAACACTGTCCCTGAGCTCCTTTGGTCAGAAGTAGCACCCTACCACTTGAGTCACAGCTTCATTTCCAGCTTTTTGGTATTTAATTGGATATAATAGTCTCACAGACTTGCCTGTCAGGGATGGCTTGTAACTGTGATCCTCAGATGTCAGTCTCCTAAGTAGTCAGGATTAGAGGCAAGAGTTACCACCTTTATATTTTCCATTATAAACAAAATAACCACAGAACATTCATCACAAAGGTGAAATTTTTAAACAAAGAAGAGATAACGTGGTAGTACTTGGGAAGGTTATTGTAGGAAGTAAGAGTGAATAAACAGAAGATCCAAGGTATTTGGAGAATGGCAAATGGGAAAGGAGGAAGTAAGGGAGAAAGTAGTACAGTAGTTAGATATGGATACTACATGGGGAAGGGACTTTCAGAACTTGAAGGAATATAGGTGACACCATATGGCTTTGAAATGTGTTATTATACAGATGTTTTTCCCTAACTACAGGGAAGTTATGGGTCTTGTGTGATCAGTTATATGCATGGAGCAGCTGGGTATTTTTCTTTGAACAAAATGTTAAGAACAAAATTACAAATGTTTTATCACAATGAGTTTCTCTGGATCAGACATCTAAAAACTATGCATCCTTCACTCAGATAGTGTTGGCCTTTTAACCCATCTGCACATCAAGCTGCTACTCATCTTTTCACTCTTGGTTTCTGCTTTCACCTGCTATAATAAGATATGATCTGAACATTTCCGATCTGTGCATCTTCTCTGTGTCCTTTAGGAAACTTTTCACAGTAAACACTACCAGGACATTGGGGTAATTTTTTATATAACACCAATCAGGATCCTCCATCATAATAAGAATTTGTATGAGAGATTCACCTTTAGGCACAACCTGCAAGAAGTGAGAGGAAAAAATCAGAAATCCATTCAAGTCAGAAAGAAAAGGTGTTCATGGGAGGAACACTCTGCTCAGCATGTTGCAGGCCTTATTAAAAGGGCCAAGTAGTTTGAGTGGAGGAAGCAAACAGGACAGTCCTAGAAGATGAGGTAAAGCCTATCACTTGGGCCACAGTGTGCGATACCAGACAGGCCAAAGGAAGGACTTTGAAAGTTCCTGAAGTAGGAGCAGCACATGATTAAACTGTTTACAAAAGCCTCTACAGTAGCAACTATGGGGCTCTCATTCCCCCCTTGGGCCTGCTTTGCCTTGTAGTTTTAGGAAAGTTGGATTCCCTTATGTTCTTAGATATATGTATGTAGGAACTCCAGTATCACAATGGACCCCATAGGAGCGGTCAGGCACTTGTGTTTCAATGTTTTTCTCTGTTCTCTGTTGAATGTCTGTCTTAATGCTACTGCCTTAATTCAAAGCCAGTAGAGCAGCACGCCTGCACATCCAAATCTGTGGTAAGCAATAAACTTGCCTAAGCAAATTAGTGACCCTTTCCACACAAATAGCTCACCACTTCTCAGCATCAGGGTCCTCTGAGTAGTCACATATTCACGTAAGTTCTTGAGAAAAGGATCTTAGAACAACTAAACTAGGGATATGGAAATTAGTCAAACCTAGAGCAGGTGCCACAAGTTCTTTAATTCTGAAGAAAACATACTAGCACTCCAGACTATTCTGGGGGACATTACAGTGTTCTTGGGTTTCTTTCGGCCACTCCCACTATCTTCTGTGTTAATGTAAGTAATATCAGTGTTCTCAGAAAATATGACCAGTCCTTAGGGACATTCTGAATATTTGGTAAATAGGTTTTTGGTTATCCCAATGATAGAGACAGGCCTAGGAGATGAGGAAGCCATATCTCATAACTCAATCTGAAGCCAACCTAGGCAGAAAAGTCTCCAAAACTCCATCTCTGCAAAAAGCAGGGCTACAATCATAGCTCGATTACTATAGGGCAAGCCAAGCAAGTTCAAGTCATTGAGTTTAACTTACCTGGACAACTTAAAAGTGACTATATGACATTAAAAAAAGAAAGAAACCAAGAAAACACACACACACACACACACACACACACACACAAGACTTGGATCCGAGAAAGATTCTGCTATTTTTCTAAGGTGGATGGGAAGGCCATGGATTATGGTAACATAGCTTGGAAAAAAATTATTTCTTCTAGGATCACATTCAATCTTACATTTTTGTGCTCTATTGATTGTTTTTGGTGGGGGGAGGGAGAGGGATGTTGCCTGAAAAAAGAAAATTATGTGAATTCTTATAGCTACCAGACATAAATTTCAGTATAAAACAATAGAAAAGCATCTTACTTTGGATTAATTCAAATCCATTTTCCAAGGATGATTAATTAACAATGGCATAAATTACTTACATTCACGGACAAAATACATTTAAATTCTTATACTCCTCTCTGTTTCAAGAACTTTAACTTTCTAAATAAGTTCCGAGCATTTCGTGGAACAGCCAAAAATGCCCTCTTGTTTCACCACATGCTGTACAGATTGTAGTCTATCACCCCATATTCTTCTAATCATCTTCCTAGCTAATAATTTCCAACTGTACTGAGAGCCAGTAGCCTATACCTTTATCCTAGCCCAGAGAGTGTATTTTCGCAACCAAACTCTCCTCAATCCTCTTCTCATTTTCTCTCATGAACTCTATCTGGTGATTTCTTCATTCCATTCCTTCACCTGGAAAATATCCAATCCTAGGTTTGACTGTTTAAGTCTGTTCTTAGTGAGATGTATAAGATCCAAAAAAAAATTTTAAATGATGTGCATTCAGACAGAATCGAGGGATAGGTACACTATATAAAATATAATGCATACACATACACACAATCAGGGCAGATGTGCCATAATAATTTGGTAAAATGCTCAGTAGACATGAGGCCTGCAAGAGCAGGAGAAATGAAGGAAGTCAAAACTCAGACAGATGGTTTCAGAGACTGAGACCTGAGGGGGCTCAAGTCACTCAAGAAATGACTTTTTGTATTTTAAGTGGGGAAAGAGATGACAGCCCAGTCAGGTTTTTCACCTTAAAATTCCTCTCAAATTAGTAGGTAAGTTGTTAGTGAAAGTAACAAAAAAAAACATGCGGTGGAATACATCAGGAAAGGTGGAAAATATGAATAAAAGCTGCACACTAGTAATTTCACTAAAAAATGGGTAATAAAGGAGCAGGGGGGAAAAAGGCCTTGCACAACCCTATACACTATATTACACTGTTCCTTTAGTAACAAAGAGAAAGGGAGGGTTTCAAATTTCCCGCGCAGCATCAGGATTGGTCACGGGCACCAGTGTTGACTTTCTCTTTTGGTTTTTATTAGCAAATTCAGCACAGCAGTCAAAAGTGAAGTTAATCAGTACGTTTGTGCGACAAGCACCTCCTTGAGCGAGCAACACTTTAGCAGGTAGACAGAGATGATCAAGTTCTTTAATAAAGGAAAATTCTTACGGGGTTTGATATACATCGACATCGAACACAGCAACGGAAAGTTCTTCAGTGAGAATTTCAAAAGCCAAAAAGAGAAAGTTGTTGTATTAAGTTTAAGAAGCCACAAGCGGAGTGGCAGTTCTTTCAGGAAAATGGAATGGCTCTGAAAAGAGCCTTTGGGGTGAGGGCTGAGACTGATCGGACGTTTTCTGAGGACGCACTCACTTGGAGCTGGTGTACTTGGTGACGGCCTTGGTGCCCTCGGACACGGCGTGCTTGGCCAGCTCCCCGGGCAGCAGCAGGCGCACGGCCGTCTGGATCTCCCGAGACGTGATGGTCGAGCGCTTGTTGTAGTGCGCCAGGCGCGACGCCTCGCCCGCGATGCGCTCGAAGATGTCGTTCACGAACGAGTTCATGATGCCCATGGCCTTGGATGAGATGCCGGTGTCCGGGTGGACCTGCTTCAGCACCTTGTACACGTACACCGAGTAGCTCTCCTTGCGGCTGCGCTTGCGCTTCTTGCCGTCCTTCTTCTGCGCCTTGGTCACCGCCTTCTTCGACCCCTTCTTGGGCGCGGGAGCGGATTTCGCTGGCTCAGGCATTTCGAAGAACAACTACCAGAGCAGGAAAAATGACTGGCCTGTCGTCGGTCTACACTATTTAGAGCTCCATATGCAAATGAGATGGAGTAATGTCTAATTTCGATTGGAGAATATTAGATGGCATCATTGTTACTTTTGTCCAATTAGAGCACGTGTACCAAGGAACTTCATTTGCATTGAGTAAAGCTGCAATACAATTTCCTAGCCAATGGTTCAGCTTCTTTTTCGCGCCTAAATTCGCCTATAAAATGTACACTTCGCTCAGCCTATTCTAGTCACTTAGTGTTCTCTGACTAAATAGCAAGTCATCATGTCTGGACGCGGCAAGCAGGGCGGCAAGGCTCGCGCCAAGGCCAAGACCCGCTCTTCCCGAGCTGGTCTCCAGTTCCCCGTCGGCCGTGTTCACCGGCTGCTCCGCAAAGGCAACTACTCGGAGCGCGTCGGCGCCGGCGCCCCGGTGTACCTGGCGGCCGTGCTGGAGTACCTGACGGCCGAGATCCTCGAGCTGGCTGGCAACGCGGCCCGCGACAACAAAAAGACCCGCATCATCCCGCGACACCTGCAGCTGGCCATCCGCAACGACGAGGAGCTCAACAAGCTGTTGGGCAAAGTCACCATTGCCCAGGGCGGTGTCCTGCCCAACATCCAGGCCGTGCTGCTGCCCAAGAAGACCGAGAGCCACCACAAGGCCAAGGGCAAGTAAAAGGCCTTGTGTTTCCTCGCTAGAACCAGCCTTTTTCACTTTTCTATTCAAACCAAAGGCTCTTTTCAGAGCCACCTATCTTGTCACAGAGAAATAGCTGTACACTGCAATTCTTAGTTGCATTACTCTCAATATTTGGCGAGTTAAAACAAGCTGTCAAGTAAAGCTACAAAGTTAGATTTAACAGCATAGTCTTAAAAAATTTCTCTGGCAGTGCTTCAGAATCAGCTCGTAGAGAACCTTTATTTCAAACAAAACGTCACAGTGGGACAGTTATATGCAGGAATAAACTTTGTAACTGGTTCAACTCCACATCAGAATCCAGATCAAAGGGAATATTGTATTAAACCAACAAAATTGGCTTGAGCCGGGAAAACTTCGGAGACTAAGAAAGCATGTTGCCGGAGAAGTGGCCACTTGTTAATTCACATTTTTTCTCAAAATGTACCAATTAGTTTCCTCTGGAAGGCATCAGTGAAAGTACAAACACCCCAAGTCCATTATGTATTTCTTTGTGTTTTCTATATATACATTGTAATGAATCCCTTGCAAGGTGATCTTTGGAAGAAACCACAGCTTTCACAAATGGGAAGTAAAATTATCTTTTAAACTTTACCTACTTGATTGGAAAACTTACATTATTGATACTGTTGCACTCAGTTCATCTTTGTCTCAAATTTACTTAAGACAAAGTAAATTTGTTGTTACCATTAATTTCTCTACAAACTGGACAACTTAATTTAAAAAAAACTACCCTGTGTCAAGTATCATGTGTTATAGACTAATAAAATACTAACATGATTAGGGACAGTTTTTTTTCTTGACATGAGATGGAATTCACAATCCTGCTTCAGCCTCCACAATACTGGGGTTCCGGGCATACTTCACCATTATCTGGCCTTACATTGAATACGCCTCTGAGACTACCTCAATGACAACTCCATTTAAAAAGGTCAGATTGTGTTCATTTTATTATAGGTTCTAATAAAAAATTAATTTTTTAAGAAAAAAAGGTGAGATTATGGGGATCTGGAGGTATAAAGGGAAATACACCTATTCGATCAGTAGTTACAGTGTGCCAGTAAATAAACAGTAGATTGAAGACAATTTATACATGAGAGAAATCCATCCAAGAGGTAAGGGACAGTTGGGAAGACTTATACTGCGATATAATTTCTGTAGTATTAATTTATCTGTAATACTTACGTAAGGTTTTCATGGCAGATTCTTCTTTCAAACTGATGTCAAATGTACATTTCTTTGGCTAGTCGGGTGCCACTCCTAGCTACTCAGGAAGCTGAGGTCTGAGTATTGCAGTTCAAAACAAGATCATTCAGGAAAGTAAAAGAAAAAATAAAGCCCAAAGTGGAGCTGTGGTTCAACTTGACAGCACTAGCCTTTACAAAAAAGCTCCAGGACCGCACCCAAAGCAAATTCAAGCCCTATGCCATAGGACTGGAAGGAAAAGAGGAAAAAGACTAATTATTCAATCACAATACTAAAGTGAATGTAGGCATGTAAAATATCACAAAGGCAATTTGAGACTTCACAAAATAATTCTGAAATTACCATAAAATGCAATCTCGGTGAAACCAGGATAGGAAATTTCACAAGGAAATGGAACTTGAAATGGAACAAAATGCCTGACCTTCTAATATGTCTCAAAATGGTAAAATTGAGATATATTGAAAACAGAAAATTCAATACTAGTCCCAAATGTAATGAGTCAACTGATATAAAGTAAAGATGAATTATTTTTAAACCCACAAATTTCTAACACCGTAGTTTAAAGTGTACTTTATCGACGGTAGAATGTGAGGAGCCTTGTCCTCGAGTTCCAAGTGATACTTCTTCAGCCAGGAAAAGGAGGAATCTCGAAATCCGATTTATGATAAGAAGGGGGACACAGGACAGAAACCGCTTTTTAGGAAATCCTTGAGAGAAGGGACACGGATGAAAATGCACGCGTAAAGAAGGCAGCCAAGGCTATTTAGAACACCGTAGCCGCGTTCTTAGAATGAGTGCTGTTTGCCAAGGCGCCTTAGCAACTAGCAGCTGCGTTCTCGGGGTGGTGGGATACCGGCGGGTATTGGATTGCTTGTCTCCTTTTTGTGCTGTCCACAGTATTACTGCTTTGTCCAAAGAGGCCTCCGTAAAGCCTTCCAATTCGGCAAACACCAGACAGGGAGACAAAAAAGCTCTCTCCTTCCCCTGTCTCTCCCGCCCACCCCCCCTGCTTTCGCGCCTCCAGTTGGACCGGCTTTCTCCTCCCTCCTCCCCCTCGTGGGCGTGACAGGACTTCCCGCCTCCCGCGCTCCGGTTCTCACTTCGGTCCGCCGCAGGACGTATAAAGGCTTCTGGTCGGAGCCAGAGTGCTCACGGCGGTTTTCTCTCTCCGAGCTTGTAGTCGTTCAGAGGCAACATGTCTGGCCGCGGCAAGGGTGGCAAAGGCCTGGGCAAAGGCGGCGCCAAGCGTCACCGCAAGGTGCTGCGCGATAACATCCAGGGTATCACCAAGCCCGCCATTCGGCGCCTGGCTCGCCGTGGCGGAGTCAAGCGCATCTCCGGCCTGATCTACGAGGAGACTCGCGGGGTTCTGAAGGTGTTTCTGGAGAACGTGATCCGCGACGCTGTCACCTACACGGAGCACGCCAAGCGCAAGACCGTCACCGCCATGGACGTGGTCTACGCGCTCAAGCGCCAGGGCCGCACCCTCTACGGCTTCGGCGGCTAAACAACCGCAGGCTTTTGTCTGGTTGTTCTGTTCATCCACAAAGGCCCTTTTCAGGGCCGCCATATTCTCATCAAAAGAGCCCACACTCGGTGTAGTTTTCGCCGTTCTGAAATTTAACATGATTTGAAAGCGTGAGCTGTGATTGGTTTCCTTGGTCCACTGTTGCGTTGGTAATCTTTTCCTCCCTTTCATGATTTCCTTGTTTGCCATTTTAAAACAAAGATTATTTACTGTTTTCGTTTTGTAGTTCAACAGTTCAGGTACCTAGATATGTAAAGTTGGTGGTTGTGGTCACCAACTTATGGAACACACTGTCTCTGCTCTAAGTCTGTCTAATCTTGTACAAGTGGCAGAGTGGGGGACTCATGATAGTAATACCATGAGGTTTCAACACTAAGAATGTTTTACAACTTTACAGTGACAAGGGCATGTGATGTTTAAAATGCAGTGGGATGAATATGGCATTAAATGGATACTCATCATTTTCCGTTAGGAATTTAGGAATATACAGGCAAGTAAATTTTGAGAGGAATGATGAATAAAAGTGCTTATGGCAAACTGACTCAGCCAGTGCAATGCTAATCCCTTATTTATGATTACTATCAATTGATTTTGTCCTTGTAACTGCTGCCTAAGAAAGCAAATTTTCCTTTTTTTTTTTTTTTTAATCTGTAAATTCAGTCTTGCTTCCCAGGGGCGGGCTGGCCTGGGAAATCCTGATCCTCCTGCTTTGTCCTCCAGACTGCTGAGGTTATTGACAAATCCAATTGTGCATAGGAAAAGCAGCTTTTTAACATATTCCAGTAATTAATTAAGGCTCAAGTAGCCCATGTGTGGTTACATTTAAGGTATACCATAGTCCATCAAGACAAGAATCTTCCTTTTTTGGGTCGGTCCTTGGTCTTGAACTCCGCTTGGGTGCTGTCCCTGCGCCTCTTCAGCTCAAGGCGAGCGCTCTACTGCTAGAGCCATGGCACCACTAAGACATCTTAATATCAACACACCTGACAGTTTTTAGAAATGTAAATAATGTTTTGATTACTACAGTATTCATACTGTTTTTAACTTTGTACTCACTCATTCTGGATGATAAAAGGCAGAAGAAAACACCTTTTGTTGCCTTCTGGGAATGACTATAACATAACAATAAATAGGCTTGCTTGCTTTGTTGTGATTTTTCTTTGGTGTTTGGAACGTTTTAAAGTCCAAGTTCACACTACTTTCCCCAATAGTATAGCATTTAAATCAATCAATCAATCAAACACAAATAAACATGGATCAGAGATCTGTGTTTCATGTGACAGGAAGCCAAGCTTTTCTTTAAATGATTGTTTTTCTTTCTATTGATTGAGCAGAACTAGGGGTTTGAACCCAGGGCCTCCCTGGCAATTCTACCACCTCAATCTCCAGAGCAGATAGCATCACAGGTATGTACTACCACACCCAGTTCTGCAACTTTATTATCTCCTCCTTTGGGTTACCTCCAACATGACTCATTCTCACTTCTCATGATTTAATACTATCTTATCAATTTCAATTTTCAATAAAACACAAAGGCACTGGAACTCACAGCCCCCAAAGAGACAGTAAATAACACAGAGGGAATGTGGGCTCATATGTGGCTGTTTTGTGAGGTTACACAGCCTATCATGGAATCTAGATTGTTTTTTACCCCTTTGTACAAAGACTGAGATCAAAACCTAAGAGGCATGGTGTCCCATGCCTGTAGTTCAGCTAGTTGAGATATGGAGATCAGAAAGATTGGACCCAATCTCAACCAATAATCAGCATAATGGCTGGTGGCTATAAAGGCTGCTATGTGATAGGTAGCTCCAGAAAAAAAAAAAAATGTGATCCTTTCTGAAGAATAATAAAGGGCTGGAGGCATGATTCAAATGGTTGAGTCTAACAAGCATTAGGCACTGAGTTCAAACCATAAAAACAATCCCCATAGAATGGGTTGGGGTGTTGTGATGAAACACACCTGCAAAGTCAGCATTTAGATTAAGATAGGAGGATTGGCAGTTGTAAGTCTATATTGACTACACAGAGTTCTGTCTCTCAAGAAACAACAAAACATAAAGCAAAAACCTTCGGTTTATTTCATTTAGAGCTAACAAAGTTTGTTGCACGAGGAGATCTCACTTTAAGCATCTGCAAAATTTCTCTGTGCTTTAGTACTTGGTTTTGCCTTGCTAGTTAGCTCTACATTTCTCTCCAAACCCGTCTCTCTTCCCTATTCGGTAATACAGAGCGGATTATTTTCCTATTTCTTTGTCTACACTCACCCCCATGCAGATTGCACTAGCAGAAATTCAAATACCATCAGTATGGTATTAACTTGCAATTTTATATCTCAATCTTATGTTTTTCTCCAAAACTTCATTCAGCTGCATTCTTTACATAAATTTTAATAGACTAAGGCTAACATTCCAAGTGTAACTACTGATATTTGTCCTGTCATTTTTTAAACTATTAATTCAACACATAGTTGCATCATCGATGTCCTTTCCCATGCTTACATTCAACTCTTGTGAATTCTCAATATGTGTAATTAGTTTACTCTCACTTGTATGTAAATTACTGTCAGTGATCTTCCTTTCAAACCATTATAACTGTGGTATTTTAAAAATTTTTATTCTAAAGGTGATGTACAGAGAGGTAACAATTACATAAGTAAGGTAATGAATGCATTTCCTTTTGAGTGTCACCCCCTTTTGCTTCCCATCTTGATTCCTCTGGTCCTGTAGGAAGTTCATCTCGAGGTCCTGGTGAATCTCCAAATACATTTTCAAACAAGCTCTGAAGTGCATGAAAAGACTCAGATCACTTTTAAATGCTGGAAAAACATTTTTGCTAAATCAGTTTAAACAGTAACTATGCATCGTTGAGAAATAAGATTACACTTAGGATGAGATAAGCAAATGGAACAGAGTAGCAAATTTTTTTTTCCTCCTTCCCTGCTGCACTAGACTTCAGTGATAACGAGGTTATGAAGACCAGAGTAGATTGGGAAAGGTGTAAAATATTCTGGATCATTAAAAGGTTACCTATGCTAGTGTGAGACACGATTGAAACCAGCTGTTGCTCAATACAAAGAATAGCCACGAGGTAATATTAAATTCACTTAGGACTAGAAAAAATTAAACGTAAGCAATGAATTGCCAATTCAGTTGTCATGCTATAGTGAGGAAAGGCAAACCACTTGTAAAGGGCAAAAATCTGAAGTTAGATGGAATGCATTTTTAGATAAAAACCTTGTGAACTCAAATGCTCGCAATGTCGTTATTCCAATTACTGGAGTGAATTTCTAAGAGCTAGAGACCACAAGACGACCCTAAAATGGCAGGTGATATAAGTCTGGAGATTGAGGTTGAACCGTTAAGTTGTAGAAGGGCACAAGATAACTACCGAAAATAAACTGGAGACATTGGGAATTGCACCAAACATGCCTCAAAACAAATGGGAGTTTAACACACATTTGAGCAAAATACAGGAGTGGGGGAAATAGTGTGAGCCCTTCAGATGAAGATGTGGCGGCCCTGAAAAGGGCCTTTGTGGATGAGCAGAACAACCAGACAAGAGCCTGCGGTTGTTTAGCCGCCGAAGCCGTAGAGGGTGCGGCCCTGGCGCTTGAGCGCGTAGACCACGTCCATGGCGGTGACGGTCTTGCGCTTGGCGTGCTCCGTGTAGGTGACAGCGTCGCGGATCACGTTCTCCAGAAACACCTTCAGAACCCCGCGAGTCTCCTCGTAGATCAGGCCGGAGATGCGCTTGACTCCGCCACGGCGAGCCAGGCGCCGAATGGCGGGCTTGGTGATACCCTGGATGTTATCGCGCAGCACCTTGCGGTGACGCTTGGCACCGCCTTTGCCCAGGCCTTTGCCACCCTTGCCGCGGCCAGACATGTTGCCTCTGAACGACTACAAGCTCGGAGAGAGAAAACCGCCGTGAGCACTCTGGCTCCGACCAGAAGCCTTTATACGTCCTGCGGCGGACCGAAGTGAGAACCGGAGCGCGGGAGGCGGGAAGTCCGGTCACGCCCACGAGGGGGAGGAGGGAGGAGAAAGCCGGTCCAACTGGAGGCGCGAAAGCAGGGGGGGTGGGCGGGAGAGACAGGGGAAGGAGAGAGCTTTTTTGTCTCCCTGTCTGGTGTTTGCCGAATTGGAAGGCTTTACGGAGGCCTCTTTGGACAAAGCAGTAATACTGTGGACAGCACAAAAAGGAGACAAGCAATCCAATACCCGCCGGTATCCCACCACCCCGAGAACGCAGCTGCTAGTTGCTAAGGCGCCTTGGCAAACAGCACTCATTCTAAGAACGCGGCTACGGTGTTCTAAATAGCCTTGGCTGCCTTCTTTACGCGTGCATTTTCATCCGTGTCCCTTCTCTCAAGGATTTCCTAAAAAGCGGTTTCTGTCCTGTGTCCCCCTTCTTATCATAAATCGGATTTCGAGATTCCTCCTTTTCCTGGCTGAAGAAGTATCACTTGGAACTCGAGGACAAGGCTCCTCACATCCTACCGTCTTTATCATCGATGTGGCTCACAACAGAAGTCTGGCGAATTTGTCCTAGGAAAACATTTAGAGGTCATGGCTGTTTTCATAAGGTTTTTTGACACATTTTTAGTAAAGCTATAGTATTTCATAAATTGTTCCTATTATCAGGGGAAATAACTTATTCTTTATCCTATGTGTGACTTGGCTGGTTGTGGATCCTTTTATATGCGGCGTGTGTGTTTGTGTGTGTTGTGGGACATTCTAGCAGAGTATTGAACCCATTTTTAGCACCCATTTTTCCCAGGGCCCAACCATCTTTCGAAAAGTCATTTAGTCTTTCTTAGCTTGCCATATGGCACCCTTCTCTTCCACTATAAAGTCCTTAAACTTTTTGACCTGAATAAGTTTATGGGTATCTATTTTTCCTTCATGTGATGACCCAGGCATGTAACACATTTACTTATGTTTTCTGCTAAAATATGTCTACCATGAGTTTATTTCAGACAATTATTCAACACTTCCTTTCTATTGAAAGGTCATTTTCTCAAATAGGGAAGGAACTGTAAAACTTTAAAATTCTAAAACAAGTATAATAATATACGATTGTTTAATCCTTTTTTATTTAGTATAATGGTGAATTAATTGCTAAGAAAAGTAATAAAGAGCTTAGAAAAGTTTTATTTATATTGTGGTTTCAATAGTTACTTCTGCTCTTCTTTCATAGCTTTATCATCTTCATAAAGTAAATGAAAATAGCATTTGTTCCTTTTAAGACTGTAAAGATTAATGAAGATAAATGATTAAACAAGTTTAGTTATTAACTACAATAAAGATCTAACCTGCATCTTAGCACTTGTCCACAAAAACTTTCCTTGAATTACCTATATTTCTACATTCTCAACTGCATTCTTTGTATTCAGTACCTCAAATGAAATACTAATTCAAATATTTTATTTGCTTAAAATTTCTGACTATTCTTAAATTTGCATGTTCTTACCTTATGAATAACATTTATGACGAATATCTGAAAAATGAGAAACGAGTTGTGAAAGAGAAGCTACCAAAGAGCAACATATCAGTTTGAGAATCCAGGTAAGACTGTGTTTACTACAAAAATAACCATTGTGGCACATCTAAACGAATGTTACCATTGGATTTTCAAACACTGACTCACTGGCCAGAATTATTGCCAATAAATTTGTAACCAGTGTTTTAGTGCTTTCCAGAAAGGCATGAACTCAATAAATGAACTGGCTGACTAAAATTAAGAAATCTGGACTATATATTAGATCGGCAAATCATCCAGGTGAAGGAAATTCCTAAACTACACACAAGACATCCCAATAGAAAGTTACAAAACTAAGTTGGGAAAAGGTAGTTTCTGTGCTCATTAGACGACACGGGGTGAAAAGCAACAGCTATCTTTTGGTGAAAATATGAGGTGGCTCTGAAAAGAGCCGTTTGGTTCTGCACAACTTGTGGAGAGCTCACTTGGAGCTGGTGTACTTGGTGACGGCCTTGGTGCCCTCGGACACGGCGTGCTTGGCCAGCTCCCCAGGCAGCAGCAGGCGCACGGCCGTCTGGATCTCCCGAGACGTGATGGTCGAGCGCTTGTTGTAGTGCGCCAGGCGAGAAGCCTCGCCCGCGATGCGCTCGAAGATGTCGTTCACGAACGAGTTCATGATGCCCATGGCCTTGGACGAGATGCCGGTGTCCGGGTGGACCTGCTTCAGCACCTTGTACACGTACACCGAGTAGCTCTCCTTGCGGCTACGCTTGCGCTTCTTGCCGTCCTTCTTCTGCGCCTTGGTCACCGCCTTCTTCGACCCCTTCTTGGGCGCGGGAGCGGACTTCGCTGGCTCAGGCATGGCGAGAGATGGCTGAGAACTACGGAACAAACGCTCCCCGAGGCCCCTCTTTATCTACATGGCTTTATGCAAATTGGGAGTGTCAAGGACCTCCTGTGGTTGGTGAGCAGGCCTGTGTGACGCCAAGAGCCCGCCTCGTCCAATGAACACCCGCTTCCCGAAGAACCGCGTTCTATTGGTCTAAATGAACTGTTCGGACAGACCAATCGCAAGGGGGCCTTTTCGCACCCAGCGCGGACTATAAAGGTGCGTTTTCGCTCTCCTGCTCCGTACTGACTGGAAACGACAGTTGAGACTTCGCTATGTCCGGACGTGGCAAACAGGGAGGCAAAGCTCGCGCTAAGGCCAAGACCCGCTCTTCCCGAGCCGGTCTCCAGTTCCCCGTCGGCCGAGTTCACCGGCTGCTCCGCAAGGGCAACTATGCCGAGCGCGTCGGCGCCGGCGCCCCGGTGTACCTGGCGGCCGTGCTGGAGTACCTGACGGCCGAGATCCTCGAGCTGGCTGGCAACGCGGCCCGCGACAACAAGAAGACGCGCATCATCCCGCGACACCTGCAGCTGGCCATCCGCAACGACGAGGAGCTCAACAAACTGCTGGGCAAAGTCACCATTGCCCAGGGCGGCGTCCTGCCCAACATCCAGGCCGTGCTGCTGCCCAAGAAGACCGAGAGCCACCACAAGGCTAAATAAGGGGCTTTAAGCTTCTCACACTACAAAGGCTCTTTTCAGAGCCCCTTACAAAGTCATAAAGAAGAGACACTACTTGTTCAGTATATATTTGCAATCAGGCAAATACCCGTTTCATTGGAATAGTGTGTTTTGCAGACATTTCAAATAGCTTTATGTAAGCTCTTAGTATTTGTGCTTTGCATTTTCCTTTCAAATGAGATTTGTGTTTAATAAAGTAATCTGGTTATGTAGGAAAATGCATGGTTGTGAGAGTAGGCCAAGTTTCACTGTGTGACACTGTCAGACTGGTTTCAATAGCACTAATGGACAGATACCTGTATAAAAATAGCCAAAGGCTATTTTGAGAAGACAAGCTAAAGACTATCCTGGTATTTAAGGAAACAGGATTGTGGTCAAGAAGCCAGCCTGACAAGTCCCTGAGATTCTCACCTTCAATTAACTAGCCAGAAGTGAAAGTCCCAGCCCTGAAGAAGCTAAAACACAGTAGTTGGAGATCACACCTACCAAAAGATAGTCCATAAGTCTGGGTGGACCGTGCTTTATTGTGCATCTTGAATTGGAACAGTTACACATGTTTTGCCTTTTCAGGAAGTTTCTGTTCAACTCTTTAATGTTTTGATAAATCTGAACTTGATGTTCACAAAGCAATAATTTTAAACCAGGTACATCGCATGAGTATTAACTTGTCCTAAAAGAAGGCTGTGGGCTTGTCTCCACCTTTGCTAAAGTAATGCTTTTAAAGGCCAAGCATTGTAGCTTTGTCATGTACTCTCAACACATGTAAGGCAAGCTGGAGGATTCTAAGTTCTAGGCCAACTTGAGCTCTACATAGCAAAGAAAGACCCTTTCTCAAAAGACAAAAATATGAAACATCAGAAGCACATAAAAGCAAATAATTACACTGTTGAAGACAAGTAAAAAACTATGATGCAGGAATAAACACAAAAGCATAGAATATTTGGGAATCGACATAATATCTTGCAAAATGACGTTTTCAAGATTATAAGAAACGAATTGAGAATCCAGCAGAGAATGTGCACCACCAAAGACTGATCTGAGCAAAAGTTCTGATATGAGCAAGGTAAATGAGTTTTGAAATTGGTAATAAGGCAAAGGTTACAAGAGATAGGTCAAAAGGTACTTATAGGTCACTTTGTTTTAAATATTTTTAGTTTTGGATAAGAGGTTGGCCATGTATTTTCAGGCCTTGAAGTTTTCATCTTTTGGCCTGTCTGGGATTACAGACATGCACTGCCACATTCTGTGGGAAAAAATTCTTTGCATATTAGTGACTTTGAAATCTGTATGCCCATCCTGACATATCTTCAGTACTATACACATTCAACATTACATTGTTAACAACGCTGCTTTCTTAAGTTTCCTTGTTTTAATGAATAGTATCACTTTCTATGGGATGAGACAAATGAATATGGAATTTATTCATTTTTGTGTGTTATCTCTATAGCAAAGCTAAAATCTTATATGGGGAGACAAAAGCTCAAAGTTCAGTAAGTTTTTATTGTAGTTCAGCACATATTTTTGGAGGGAATACCCACATACACATAATTATAATTACTATCCCAGAATTGATGCTTCATGTAATCACAAGTGGCAAGTTAATTGTATGTTCAGAAATATATTGCCTGGGCTGGGAAGGTGGCTTAGTGGTAGAGTGCTTGCCTTGCATCCATAAGGCCCTGGGTTCAATTCCTCAGTACCACATAAACAGAAAAAGCCAAAAGTGGCACTGTGGCTCAACTGGTAGCAAAAAGCCAAAAGTGGCACTGTGGCTCAACTGGTAGCATTGTGCTAAAGAGCTGAGGGACAGCGCCCAGGCCCAGAGTTTAGGCCCCACCATGGACAAAAAAAAAGAAAAAAACAAAAAGAAGAAAAGAAATATATTGGCTATATATCTCCTGGAGGTATTTATCCAGCAAGTCAGAGTGCACTATTGATCAATGCAAATCATGAAATTTCTCTGTGAGCTCATGCAGTATTGGCTCTTATTTTCTCAGCATAGAAAGTAGGAATGTGCAAAAAACACCTTGTTTAGTGATGGGCCTGGGTCAGCATATACCACCACATCCATATTCAGTGGCCTTGTGAGGCATTGTTTCCTCCCAAAATAGTGTATTTTCATTTCCCGGAGGTGACTAATTTCTGAGGGGAATACTCTTTGCTTAAGAACCAAGTTTAACAGCATTAGAACATTTTAATTTTGTGAGCGAATGGGATCCTCTAAATTCCACACATAGTATTTATATTGGTGCTAATTTCTGATATGAGCTCTCGGAAGACAATGAGCAGGAGCAAATTGTAATGATTACAGTAGTTGTAAGGAAATTACCTAATATCAAGACAAAAAATAAATAATAGACAATAACTAAGTAGCATACATAAATCCTCAAGCCAAAAATTCAAAATTTTAAAATTTGGGGCATTAAAAATTCTGATCTTTCATGAGGCACTGGTAGCTCAGACCTGTAATGCTAGCTACTGAGGAAGCTATCTGAAGAACAGAGTTCAAAGGCAGCCTGGGAAGAAAAGTTCCCTTGAGATTCTTATCTATAATAAACTACTCACAAAGGCCGGAAGTGGCACAGGGGCTCAAGTGGTACAGTCCCTTGAGCACAAAAAGGCTCAGGGACGGCCCTGGGTTCGATTCCTCAGCACCACATAAGCAAAAAGAAAAGCCGGAAGTGGTGCTGTGGCTCAAGTGGTAGAGAGCTAGCCTTGGGCCCAGAGTTCAGGCCCCCCGACCGCCCCCCCCCAAAATAATCAATGCAGAAAACCAGGATGGAGGCATGGCTCAACATGCTTAGCAAATGCAAGCTCCTGAGTTCAAACCCCTAGTACTGCTACAAAAGAAAGAACGAAGGTGAGGGGAGAAAGAAGGAAGGAAGGAAGGATGGAAGGAAGGAAGGAAGGAAGGAAGGAAGGAAGGAAGGAAGGAAGGAAGGAAGGAAGGAAAAGGGCTCAAATGGAGTAGAGGGGGCTACAGAGTCATTTGTTCCTTCTTTAGTCCATCTTCTCCACATTGGACATGAGACATGAGATAAATTCTTCACCAAGTCTCCTGGGATGCTTCACCCTGAAAATAGCATTTAACTTGTGAAATATTTCTGTGTTAGACCTCAGAGGATGATAGATAACTTAAGGAAAATGCTCTCCAGAGACAGCCCTTAGAATAAATTATAGATTTATCTCTTACAAGTCATCCTTTAACTGGAGACAATCTGCTTGAAGGATCTCTTCCTCCCAACAAATATCCAGTTGACAAGGATTTGTCTTTTTTTGTAGTCCTCCCACTCATGCCTTGCTTCTTGTCTATTAGGAGAGAGGCTCAAAACGGGTTCTGAAATTCCTTCCTCCTCAAATAAAGAAGACATCACAAGGCTGATGATAAGAGTCAAAATAAAGGGCTCTATGCTGTGCTTCGCTTCCATTTCTGGGAAGACTGCTAGCGAGTTGATGAGAGAGTCAAATGGATAATGATGAATGGGAAGTAACAATAAATTTGGAAGAGTCATAAAAATCATAATTCACTATAAATGAAAGAAATGTTGATGCAATGTTGCTTCAAGCAGCAAATGTCTCTAGAGTTACAGAATTGACAATCAGTGCCTCCCCTGGAAAATCTTCCTAAATGTCTATTATATGGTAGAATGTTCTAGGATTTTTCTTTTGGAAAAAAAAAATCAAAGAAAATGGCTACAAGATAGCAAACTGACATTATTAGATCCAATGTTTTAGAACACATGTATAATAAATATATTATTCTTTTTTAAAAAATAAAGTTTTATTTTTTGCCCTCATTTTGAAAAAAAAAAAGGCTCAGGGACAGTGCCCCCAGACCCTGATTTCAAGTCTCAGAACCCGGGGGGGGGGGGGGATCCTCTACCTTGTTTCATAAGCTGACAAGTTGAAGAATAAACTTATACACAAATATTGGCCAACTTGCCAAGAAAAATCTGGAATGCCTTGAAGAATTAAAAGCTTAGAAAAATTATAACTACAATATACTCATAGGTTCACTTATAGAGTTTTCTATTATTGGTGTTCACATGCAAAAGAAATACTATTACTACACTACTACTGAGTACTCAGTTTATTTCATGAACCTGAATATTAGGAGACTAAGGAACAAAACAAGTGCTGTGATTTTGTAAATTCAAAGGAGATAAAATGGAGTGTTCTTTCATTAAATCAGACAAGGCTTTGGTGGAAACGGTCATTTAGACAAACCAGGCATTTATTTTCCAAAGGGCCGTTATTACAGTCCTTATAAGCCTATGACTTTTGGATGCAGGTATAATGAATTAGTATGTTCTAGCACCCTTCCTTTCACCCTTACAAAACTATAGTTTGCATAATAAATCTCAATGGCTGTCCCTAATTAGCCCAGCCACGAATCAGCTACATAAGCAACATCTTTAAGCTAAGTCTCTCACACCCGACTTAAGATGCACAGAGAAGATTTGAAACCAGGGTGCGTCAGCTCTGGTCAGTGCTTAGTACAGTCAACATGGAATGCTGAGTCCCACAATTAGAACAGTGCCTGGTGCTAGAGCAACAGCTCTTTTTAGTTAATGTGGATGGCTCTGAAAAGAGCCTTTGGGTAGATAGATGGGGAAAGAGGATTTAGGCCCTCTCTCCGCGAATGCGGCGCGCTAGTTGGATGTCCTTCGGCATGATGGTCACACGCTTGGCGTGGATGGCACACAAGTTAGTGTCCTCAAAGAGACCCACCAAGTAGGCTTCACTCGCCTCCTGCAGCGCCATCACAGCGGAACTCTGGAAGCGCAGGTCGGTCTTGAAGTCCTGCGCGATCTCGCGCACCAGCCGCTGGAACGGCAGTTTGCGGATCAGCAGCTCCGTCGACTTCTGGTAGCGCCGGATCTCGCGCAGCGCCACGGTGCCGGGCCGGTAGCGGTGGGGCTTCTTCACGCCGCCGGTGGCCGGAGCGCTCTTGCGAGCGGCCTTGGTGGCCAGCTGCTTGCGGGGCGCCTTGCCGCCGGTGGACTTGCGAGCGGTCTGCTTAGTACGAGCCATGATTTTCTGACTGGAACTAGATAAAAAGCAGAAGGCTGGCTGCTGCTTTATAACGAGAACCTGAAGCTGATTGGACAAAAATAGACCAGGCCCACCTAGCTGCAAACCAATGAAAACTCAAGGAAATTTGTAAGCACTTACATTCGCTGTGCGGAGTTTCACCGATATGTCCTTACGTGTGTGCAAAACGCCTTGGTCAAATACACCCATCTGTCCAGCATTCTATATCGTTCACCAAATCGTATATCGTATATCGTTCACCAAATCCTTTTGTTTTGGCCTCAGGCCTATTTTTTTCTCTCTCGTTACTATCTTTTCCTACAGCTGTTTTCCGTGGAAATAAGCGCATTTTTTTTTCTTACAGGGTATACTGGAACAAAACTAATCCAAGAGAACTTTAAGATTGTACTAAATTTACGTGATACGATGTTATTTGGTCTTTGCACTATCTCAAATTCAGTGTATGGGAGTGTGCACACTAATTCAGTCCATCAACCCTTTATCTAAATTTCTAACAGTATTCATTTTCAACGAAGACTTGTATGACTTCATGAAGCCACTGTTAAATTTCTAAGTAAAACTAATTTTATGAATAATTACAACGAAGATTGATCAAGCCAGTTTTAAAGTAATTATAATGAACCTAAGGAATGGGACTTCCTGATCTCGTATGGACTGAATAAACTTGGAAAATCAACCAGTTACCTATCAAAGGCGGTTACTGACCAATTACCATCTTAATTCGTATAACCAGCCAGAAATGAGAACTGATAATTGCCCAGGTTGGTCACAGAAACAAGGTACACCTTCCACTCTATTTGTTAAAACCAGGGAAATATGCTCATGACCTAAGAGGCAGTTTTAACTATCTCGGAGATAGCCAAAGATGAGGTGAAGAGCTCAGGGAGCGTGCCTAGGACCAGGGTTGAAGCTACACGATTCACAAAAATACAAATTAAAACTCGAAATAGAAACAAAGCGCACAGTCCCTTTCTAAAAGTTGTAGGTGGCTCTTAAAAGAGCCTTTGGTTTTAGCAGGGCTGAAAGACACTTATTTGCCCTTAGCCTTGTGGTGGCTCTCGGTCTTCTTGGGCAGCAGCACGGCCTGGATGTTGGGCAGGACGCCGCCCTGGGCAATGGTGACTTTGCCCAGCAGTTTGTTGAGCTCCTCGTCGTTGCGGATGGCCAGCTGCAGGTGTCGCGGGATGATGCGGGTCTTCTTGTTGTCGCGGGCCGCGTTGCCAGCCAGCTCGAGGATCTCGGCCGTCAGGTACTCCAGCACGGCCGCCAGGTACACCGGGGCGCCGGCGCCGACGCGCTCGGCATAGTTGCCCTTGCGGAGCAGCCGGTGAACTCGGCCGACGGGGAACTGGAGACCGGCTCGGGAAGAGCGGGTCTTGGCCTTAGCGCGAGCTTTGCCTCCCTGTTTGCCACGTCCGGACATAGCGAAGTCTCAACTGTCGTTTCCAGTCAGTACGGAGCAGGAGAGCGAAAACGCACCTTTATAGTCCGCGCTGGGTGCGAAAAGGCCCCCTTGCGATTGGTCTGTCCGAACAGTTCATTTAGACCAATAGAACGCGGTTCTTCGGGAAGCGGGTGTTCATTGGACGAGGCGGGCTCTTGGCGTCACACAGGCCTGCTCACCAACCACAGGAGGTCCTTGACACTCCCAATTTGCATAAAGCCATGTAGATAAAGAGGGGCCTCGGGGAGCGTTTGTTCCGTAGTTCTCAGCCATCTCTCGCCATGCCTGAGCCAGCGAAGTCCGCTCCCGCGCCCAAGAAGGGGTCGAAGAAGGCGGTGACCAAGGCGCAGAAGAAGGACGGCAAGAAGCGCAAGCGTAGCCGCAAGGAGAGCTACTCGGTGTACGTGTACAAGGTGCTGAAGCAGGTCCACCCGGACACCGGCATCTCGTCCAAGGCCATGGGCATCATGAACTCGTTCGTGAACGACATCTTCGAGCGCATCGCGGGCGAGGCTTCTCGCCTGGCGCACTACAACAAGCGCTCGACCATCACGTCTCGGGAGATCCAGACGGCCGTGCGCCTGCTGCTGCCCGGGGAGCTGGCCAAGCACGCCGTGTCCGAGGGCACCAAGGCCGTCACCAAGTACACCAGCTCCAAGTGAGCTCTCCACAAGTTGTGCAGAACCAAACGGCTCTTTTCAGAGCCACCCCACATTTCCACCAAAAGCTAGCTGTACTCTTGGATGACATTTCTGATCCTTGTTCAGTCACAAGTCACGTTTTGAAGGGACTGGGTTGCTGTTCTTTATATTTCTAAGCTTACTGCATTAGGGTTTTTGTGATGGGGAAGTGGGCTGGGAACTGCTATCAAGTTAGTCGTTTCAAGAGCAACCGCTGCCGTTTTGTGCATATTCCTTTCTTATTGTTCCCCTAACACTGAATCAAGTTAGTTCACACGGGTATCCCTGAGAAGAGCCTTAGCCTCCGAGTTACTTATGTTCTCTCAATACTATCCTAGCGATCTGCTTGATTCCGCTGCGGCTATCCAGTCATTCAATGGCAGAGCGTGGTGCTGTCCTGCATTTCATCTTGCCAGGGTCTGCCGCTAGCGTTTAGTTTCCTCACTCCCTACACCTTTTCCCCTTTAGTTGCACCCGGACATTCCAACAAACCTTAAAAATCAACACATTGCAATGGCCTATTTCAAATTGCGGACCAAATTGAGAACTACTTTCAGAAAGGCGGGCAACGTCCCAGTTGTAGGTCCGCCTTCTTTCTCTTCCAAACCTAGGAGAAGGCGGAAGTCCCAACGCTGCTTACTTACCAGAGAACCCTTGAGGACATGTTGGAGACATTTGGTGCGGTCTGTGCTGTGAATTCCCCAGAAGAGCTAGAGGGGATGCATGCTGCAGCTTAGAGGTGTGAGTATTTTATGCAAGAAATCGCTCAAAGCCTCTAATTGGATTACAAACAGAGACACTGGCCTTTGGCCCTAGTTTCATACTGTGTCAGTGTGTTACTGTGTTGAGAATGTTAGCTTTTTAGAGTACTCCATGAACTACACTACCATCAAGTATTCTCACCTGCTTCTCAAATTAGAGCTCTGTAAGCTGGGGAGGGAGGAGAAGAGCAATTTACCTAGTCACAGGGCAAGGAATAGGGTCAATTGAATTTAGGTGACTGAACTACACAGACCAGTCGCTTAGCAGCTGAACTGTTTTATTTTAGGTCAGAATCCTCACAAGAGAAAAGAGAGCTTTTGCTTTTATCATTCTTGCATGGTATCAATTCACTTACTCAAACTTACCCAGTGTACATGATCTGGTGTTGTACCTGACACTTGATCCAGATAGGACAGCTCTTAGCTCTGCTATCTTTTGGCAAGCTACAGAACTGGTTCTGCCATGTTTTCTTTGTAAAAATGTGAAAATCTTGAGGATTGCAATTACATACTTAAAGAGAATTCAGGAGCAATCATTAAGTATTTATTGCCTTCTGGGGGGGGAGGGGCAGGGGTCGATCATAGGGCCTGAACTCTCAGCTCTTCAGTTTAAGGCTAGCGCTCTACCACTTGAGCCCCAATGCCACTTCCAGCTTTTTCCGCTTACGTGATGCCGGAATCGAACCCAGGGCCTTATACATGCAAGGCAAGCGCTCTACCACGGAGCCACCTTCCCAGCCCGGCAGTACTCTTTACATTAAGACACAAAAACTTCTTTATAATTTATTGTTTATCCATGTGCAAGATAATGCCCTAGAAAGGTCTTTTAATTGATTGTTTAGTTTCCACTGCCATCTTACTTGTGAAATTATAACCATAATCTTAAATTACTATTATATCTATTTTACAGATCCAAAAGAAAAGGTAAGTAAATTGCCAGATGTTACACAGTTAATATAAATATATTCACAGATTCTAGCTTTAGTAACTACATTTTAATAACAATACAGTAGTTATCTTTTCTTCATTAAGTAGCTGTACAAAGAGATGTCACTTCCATAAGTCAAGTTATGAATACAATGCATTTTATTCACTGTCACATCGTCCATCATTCGCCCCATTTCCCCCCTGCCATCCCCTACCCTTAAGTTATGTCCTTCAATTTTATATAATGTAGCTTTTGCCCATCTTCTCAGGCTTGTAACCATTGCATGCTAGAGAAAAGAAAAACTGTCAGCTATGGAAAGCAAGATGCAGGATAATGAGCAGTAGAGTTGTGCACATGTGTGAATAAATGTGAAATAGCTCTGGAAGGATACTAGATAAACTGTTAGCTATAGTTGCCTCCAAAGAAAGGAAGTTATATAACAGGTAGATGAAGGATCTTTTCCTTATAATCCTTTTCTGATGTCAGAATTGTATGTATATATTATTGCCTGTGAAAGTCCCAAAAGCCAAGCTGTGAGATCCGAAAGGATTGGTAATTTGGAAGGCCTTTCCCCAACATACACTCAGAACACCGAGTTTCCTGGGAAGGTCAATCAGTCCTGGCTTGATAGGAATTCAGATTTCTATCCTGGGTGTAGGCTAATTGGACCCAAGCCTTTTGGGAGCTTGGGGATAGCCTAAAGTCCATGCAAATTGTAAGCTATTTACTGCTTACCTCTACTTCCTAAGATAAAGTAGTCATTTATCACTTCAATAAGATTGTGTCACATGCTTGATGTTTTTGACTACAAGGATATTGAATAACATTGTATCACATGATCAGTGCTTATGACTTAAAGACTATTGTGACCTTACTTTCCGCACTGTACTCTACTCAATAAATACCATGTGGAAAGGACCTTGGACACCTGGAGCTGGCGTTTAGTGTCCCAAACCCCAGTCCACAGTCCTAGTAATCCATGGATGAGGGTGCAGCCCTCATGACATACATGTAGCATTCATTGGGGTAAGTTTTCACCATATGAATTTGGGGAGGTATATACAAACCACAGCAAGTGCAAATCTTACTTTCTCCCTTAGCCCTGCCTGTCTTCAGAAGTGTCCTTGAGCCTCAGTTTTTGTAAACAGTAGAAATGAGATAATTCAGGCAGGGACTTTGTAAGAATGATTTTATCTGAGGAGTATATTCACAATACCCAAACTTACAAGAAATAGTGGATCTATAAATTATTGTGGGAGATGCGACTAACTGTGACTAACCACAGGTTACTCAGCAATTGCTTTGATTGGACCAGGCATAGGAGCTAAGGGGCACAGAAGAATGTAGGAGCAGAGTGAGTACATAATAGCATTGTAGGCAAAGAAAGGAATATCACAGTCAAAGAATCAAAAATGGTGCAATAAGGCTAATAATTAGTACCTGTAATCCCAGTTATTCAAGATGCAAAGATCAGGAAAATTGCAATTTCAGCCTAGAAGTTAGTAAGACTTCATCTTAACAAGTTGGGTGTGGTGGTTCATATCTGTGATCTCAATTATACAATAAGCCATAGACAGAAGGTAAAAACAAGATGCCCAACCAGTTAGAAAAGTTCCCCCAGAAAACCCACATGAAGCATTCAGGGTCAGTTTTACCAAAGTTGTTCAGACCTCAGGTTACAACTATGTGCAAAACTGCCCTTAGCGTTTCAGGACTTCCAGCCACTCTGAGCTTGCCCTGTAAAATATGTCAGTTTTGCACCGGGGTGGCAAAGCAGGGAGAGAAGCATACACATTTGCAAGATTCCCCACTAGGTGGCAGTACAATTTTATTTAAAACGATTTGGAAATAACGTCGTTAACAAGGCCTCACCTAAGGCATGGTATTTGTCACAAGGAAAACTTGTGAGAAGAGTGAGAACACTGGCCCCATGGTGTAATGGTTAGCACTCTGGACTTTGAATCCAGCGATCCGAGTTCAAATCTCGGTGGGACCTCTTCAGCTTTTCATTTTCCTGGTTGTCTTTTAAAATCTTGTGTACCTTCCTGTAATCCATGCCAGTGAACAGGAATGCTCCAATAAGAGCAAGTCTGTATGCCAAAATGCTGTAGCTCTCCTCTCATACATACATTCCCATAAACTGTGATGTGATAAATACCTGGTCTGTGGGCAATAAATTTGGAGTCATTTTGCTCTTCCTGGGGGCCCATTGCTTCCAAGAATGCTCTCAACGAGGCAGGATTTACCCATATATGAAGGGCATACTGGAGTACCAGTCCTTGAATAGGCCATCTCATCCTATCATAGCTACACATTCCTTAGGCTCTTTGTTGTTGTTATAAAGGTGGTTATAAAGGGGTTATGTTACACAAGTCAGGTATTGAGTACATTTCTTTTTGAACAATGTCACCCATTCCCTCCCTCTCTCCCAGTCTTAGGCTCTTTCTTAGCTTTTGGTAAGCTTGTGAAAGCCTCTGCTCTTGGACTAAGTTCCTATTTGTGGTTCATTGTTGAAAACAACCCATGAGAATATTAACCCTACAGATTCCAGTCCAAGTCCTTACCCTTTGCCTGAGATATGTTTTTTTTACATTTGAATCATAGCCTACACAAATCCAACCTCACTTGTTACCATACCTGACTAACATTAGCCCAAGATAGATAGTCACTAGTAATGTGTAAAATTCTGCTTATTCATTTCATTCCTCGGGTCTCATTTTCTACCTCCAAAACATTTTGTCCTCCATTCCATCTTCATGAGCTCTACATCCCTAGTGATTCCTGGAATATTTTCTTAGATCTGAAGACCTTCTCACTGCGGCCTTCACTTGGCTCCCTATGTTCAGTAGAACCCCATCTGCATTTCCTCAACACCCTAAAAATCTTCCAATACTACCTCATATTTTATTTGATTTTTAAATCAGGTTCCTCTAGAGGAGAGACCACACTACTTTGTCTTATTCACCTTTCAGTCCCCAGTCTTACCACACTTTGTTTATATTGGATCAAAAGTATTTACTGGATCCATAACTTTTATCTAACCTCACGTCATCCTAGATGAAGTGAAGAGTTTATGCTTGTGTTTGATTAGAAATCTTTCTGTGTAGCAAATTCTGGAGCCCGAGCTGTGAGACCAGGAGAGTTAAGAGTTTGGAAGGCTGCCTCAATAGCACTCAGAAGGCTGAGGGCTGGACCCTGAAAGGTTAAACAGTTAAGGCAAGAAAGTTTAACTTACGACCCTAAGTGCACTTAAGTTAGAGCTGCTTGGACACTAAAAGCTTAAGACCTTGGAGATAAGATGAATGTCTGTGTTACGGTTGGAGTGTTTATTGTTCCCTTCTGCTTCCTAATGATAAGGGGTCAATTATCACTGAATCTACAAACTATACTTCATGTTAATGGTTGTAACCACCAAATAGGTTAATAGCTGAGCCACCACCACCCCGTCCCGCAATTTAAGAAAAAAAAAAATTAATGGGAACTCAGAACTTCAGAAGCTGGTGAGCTCTGGACCCCCTAATGCCTTCTTTCCTATCTTCTCTTTTCTCAGTTCTTCAGCCCAGTATTCTCCCATTGTGCTGTTCCTGGTTATGTTTAGCAACCAGTGGCACCCAGTGTGGGGCTCAAATGACCAGTGAACTGAAGTATTTGGAAAATCAACTGAAGAACACTGAAGAGTTCTGGTCCAGGAAGGAACACACCAGGACCACGCTTCAAGACCATCAGGATAACAATGGGGCAAACTAAAAGCAAAAGGGCTAAGTATTTTGAGCTGATAAAGATGCTGCTGGCAGTGTCAGGAGTAAAAGTAAAGAGAAGAGATTTTGAGGATCTAGCCTGTTATATGGAGAAATATTGTTGCCCGTTGTCTCCACAAGGAATGCTGCAAACGCAGCAGTGGAAGGAGGTGGTCGGGGCCTTTGAAAGGGCTGGCAGCCAGGGGAAAATAATCCCATGTAAAATTTGGGTTTTATGCCATTTAATTACAGTGGTGTTGCAGCCTTCTCAAACTCCTCCACCATCAGAGTGTGGGTCTGTTTGGGAAGTTCCGGTGTAGAACCAGGATAAGGATGGAGACTCTCCATCTTGTGACAAAGAACATTAAAAATGTGAAGCCTGGGAGAGTGAGGAGGAGTCTGCCTCCAGGTGTGAGGAATTTAACCATTCTCAGGCCTCTCAGTCCCCTCCTTTGCTGTTGTGTGTTTCTCCAGTCGTGGGTCAGATGAGTTCCCTTGCTCAAAAGACAAAGGGAATTGAAGGCTTGTATTGATGTGCCTTCTGTGGCACCAGAGGCGCTTCCCATGCTGAGTATGCTACCCTGCCTTAGAAGACACTTTGGGAGCTGAGACAAGCTATCTCCACCTATAGAGCTACCTCCCCTTACATTATGGGCATCCTCATGGGAGTGTAGAGGCTAAACACCTGATTCCCCAGGACTGGGAAAGCTTGGCTAAAATCTGCTTGGAGCCTAGTCAATATTTGCAATTAATTGTTAAAAGCTATCCTCTTTCAAAAGCACCTCTTTATTTTACTGGCAGAAACAAAAAGGGGAAGATATATTGTTCCACTAATAATTAACTCCCCTTAGGAGTCTGCCCAGCAGAATGAACTAATAGCAGTCATCCAGCTGCTCAAGGGTTTCTTTAATCTTACTAGAACTAATTCCCAATTGCCCAGACTTTGTCCCAGGGCAATGAGTTTGTTGATCACAGGTGTTCCCTCTACTATTAAAAGGGACAATGCCCCTGCCTATACTAGCAATAAGTTGCAAACTTTCTTAAATAAATGGTACATCAAACGTTTTACAGGAATCCCATGTAATCCTCAAGGACAAGCCATTGTGGAATGAAATAACCAGGTCACTGGACCCCCAAAGAACAAAAAGCAATGGCATTATATACCCTTAACTTTGACAGTGTGACTTTTCCATCCAATACTTCAGCAGCAGATAAACATCAGAAGGATCTGAAAAAAAAAATGCAGTCCTCATGTCAGCTTATATGATGAAGGGATGACAATAACTGGAAATCCGGAACTGTCAAAGTACAGGGCCATGGTTGTGCTTGTGTCTCCACAGATTATGCAGATGTCTGGCTACCAGGCCAAAAACTAAAACTCAGGAATGAAGAAAAGATCATCCAACATCAAGGAACCTCTGGAGGAATCCGTGAAGAAGATGAAGGTAACTGAAGGCCCTGGACGAACAGCACAACAGAACAGGGACCATTCCCACCTGGGGACAGATGAAGAAGCTTTCTCAAGAAGGCAATGGATGTCTAAAGGAAGCCTGGCACCAGTGGCACACACCTGTAATCCTAGCTACTCAGGAGGCTGAGATCTGAGGATTGTGGTTCAAAGCCAGCCCGGGGAAGAAAAGTCCCCATGAGACTTGTCTCCAATAAACTACTCAAAAAAGCTGGAAGTAGCACTGTGGCTTAAGTGGTACAGCAATAGTCTTATACACAAAGAGGCTCAGGGACAGTGCCCAATCCCTGAGGAGTTCAAGCCCTTGGACCGGCAAAAAGAGAGAGAGATGTTTAAAGGACAATAGACAAGAAATTAATGCAGTGGGCTGGGAAGGTGGCTCAGTGGTAGAGTGCTTGCCTTGCATGCATGAGGCCCTGGGTTTGATTCCTCAGCACCACATAAACAGAAAAAGCCAGAAGTGGCGCTGTGACTCAAGCGGTAGAGCGCTTGCCTTGAGCTGAAGAGCTGAGAGACAGCGCCTAGGCCCAGACTTCAGGTCCACGACAGGCAAAAAAAGAAAAAAAAATTAATGCAGTATCTTTGTTTTGTAATGATGATAGCACCTTGTAGTTCCTCCTACACAGTGCAAGCCTCTGCTTGGGGGATTCCAATTATGGGTAAACCATTGTACTTAAATTGTACTGTGATAGGTGACAATTCAAAAGTAGGACCTGTTCCATGGGTATAAAGACTGAGTTGAAATAGTTGGTCAAAAAAGTCTTGAGGGGCCCTTGATAAACATGATCAGTCTAATATCCAGTTTGGTATTAACTATATCAAACTTAGGGCCTCCACCGAGAATGAAGGAGAATATAATTGTTCTAAAAGACAGAAAAGTTACTCTAAAGACAATGTTCGTATGGGGGAAAAAATGTCACACTGCATTGGGCCCCTGAGTCCGAATTTACCAGTTCTTCAAACATGATTTCAGTTGGCCATTAATAATACCATACAGGCCTCTGACGCTGAGCTGTGAGGCCTGAAAGGATTCAAGAGCTTGGAATGTCATCTTGAAATGCCCTTGGAATGCTGAGGGCTGAGCCCAAGTAAGGTCAAATGGTTGAGGCTAACATAAAAGTTACTACCCTGTGTGTTTAGAGCTGCTTGGACACTACACTTAAAGCCTTGGAGATAAGATGGATGTCTATTTTATGGAAGGACTTTTTTTGCTCCCTAACAAAGGAGTCAATTATCATGGGTCTTAAACACAAGGCCTAGGTACTGTCCCTGAGTTCTTCAGTTCAAGTATAGTGCGCTAGCACTTGAGCCACAGTGCCACTTCCAGTTTTCTGGTGGTTAATTGGAGATCAGTCTCACAGACTCTCTTGCCTTTGAACCTCAGTCCTCAGATCTCAGTCTCCTGAGTAGCTAGGATTACAAGCATGAGCCCCTAGCAGCTGGCAAAAAGTCAGTTATTTCTAGGTATACAAATTATACCTTATGAGTGTCTAACCACAAGATAGATTGATACCCTATTCTCTCCATTTATCTGTAGTTGCCCCTCCCCCTGTTCTAAACTCAGTAAAAACTCTTGTTAAGGAGATCTTGGGACCTGGTAGCAGGAATCACATCAGGTCACCTGGTTCCCCAAAACCTCAGTTTTCCAGCCCGGTTTCCCCTTGTCCCAGTCACAGCAACACTTGTTTTGTATCAAGAAAAACCCTTCTTTACAATATATCCCATCACAAAATTTAGACTTGCTGTCCATGGGGAAGGGTACAAAAACCTAACCCAGTGTGAAATTAGCAAGATGAAATCTTGGAGAATGAATTAACTATGGACCTTGTACATTATAAATGTTTATGTTTCCTGTTGTGTGGACAATCTTAGTAACTGTTCTGAAACAAGACAATTTGTTACTACTTAATCAGCTGGTTTTTCTTTGTAACAAATGTTCCGGCTATAATTTTGGAAGAAATCAGGAAATAAAGAAGTTAACTTTTACAAAATCAAGCTGCCATAGATTATTTGCTAGTGAAAAATCATTTAGGATGTGAACAATTTGAAGGATTGTGTTGTTTTAATACAACTAACAATTCTCAAAACATTCAGAACCAATCAGAGCAGCTCAAAACGGAATTGAGCAAGTCAAAAATTACTAATGACTCGGTGCCCCTAGGATGGCTGTCTTGGCTGTGGCCCTTTTTGGGTCGAATAGCTTCTGTCTCAGGGGTCATCCTATTGGCTCCCTGTCTCTTCCAGGGTTTGTCCCTTTTCATTCATCGTTTATTAGCCCAAGCAGGAGTGAGAGCCGTGCTGTCTCAAATAACAATGTAAATTCTGGAGCCGAGCTGTAAGACCAGGAAAGGGTTGAGAGATTCGAAGGCCACCTTGACACAGAAAGCCAAGAGCTGGGCCCTGGAAAGGGGATGCAGCTGACCGCACCCACAAAGTCCCTCTCCAAAGCCTAGTGGGAGTGGGCCTCAAAAGTGAGGCGGGGTTGGGAACTTTGGACCTTTAGGAATCTCTCCCCACACTTCCTCAGGATGAAAGGGAGAGGCCAGGTCCAGGGAGACCAGGGGTGGACTGGTGGCAGGGAGGCCCCATTCCCCACCTCCTGGCCCCTCCGTCGGGCTGTCAGGTCTTCGGGGATCCCCTAACCCCGTGGTCCAAGCATACGTGTTTCCGTATTGCGTAAACACTGTCTTTCCTGTGGCTTCAATTTTAAAAAAACAAAAACCCCTATGTGTCCTCCAAAACTCCTGGCGCCCAGAAGTTGATTTCTTGTAATAACAAAAAGATCCGATGACGAACAAGAGTGAAAAGCCCCTTGCCTCCCGCGGGTCCCTCACCTGTTAAACAGAGGTAACAGCCCGCATCTCACAGGGCTACTGAAAGCCACCATGACCCCCGGCTAGCCGTGGCCTCCCGCTTTGGTTTAGAATTCTCTTTCCCAGTGAAAAAACAGAGGCCCGGAGGCTGCGGAGGGGGCGGGTGGGGGGGGGGGG